TGGAAAAAGAAATTATGGAATGGATAAAAAAAGTAAAACAAATGAAAGGAATAAATGAATTTAATGATGAAAATAAAGGTAATTAAAAAAAATATTTTTTTGGATTATAATTTTTATTTAAAGAAGATTTTCAATTAAAAATTGGAGGTTCTCAAATATTAGAAACAAATACTTCTTTGTCAGATATGGATATTTTGTGTATTTTACCAAAATATATAAATATTTATGATTTTAAAGGAGAGGATGAAAACTATGGTTTATATGGACGGTTATTGCCAAATAAGGTTTTATTGTGATTATAAATTAGGAGTTAATCAAAAATTCTCTACCATTCAATATTCAAAATATTAATTAAATGTGAAAATAATAATTTTAAAATATAAATGATAAAAATTATTTTTCATTCGGGTGCTGCGCACCAGGGATGGGCCGGGTTACCCGAAACCCGATACCCGAAACCCGAAACCCGGACTTTTTTTCGACCCGAAACCCGAAACCCGACCCGAGAAATTTTTGAAAACCCGACCCGAAACCCGACATTTTTCATGGAATTCTATTACATAAAAGTAAGATTTTTGGCTCTTTGGCCTTCTAAAATCCGCAAAATTTTCGCCTGCGGCGCTGAAAAAGGAAGAAATCTGGCTTCTTGGCCTTTCAAAATTCCCAAAATTTTCGCCTGCGGCGCTAAAAATGGAAGAAATTTGGCTTCTTGAGCTCCAAAATGTGGAATTTGGGCACTATATTTAAGTATCAAGAGGGTTTGTGGAGTTATCTGCGGGAGGTATCAGGAACGAACACACCCCTAAAGACGGTTTTTTTAGATTTTTTATTTTTAAAAATCACTATCTCTTACTTCGAAATAAAATTATTTTAAGGGAAAGGAAAAGAAATATTTATAATTTCTTTCATTGGTCCTTTTGTTGGTCGGTGGTTGAGTGGTTATGTGTCTTACTTTACTCACCTACAAATTTTGTAGTGAGGGTTCGAATCCAGGGCGGGATATGAGCTAAGAAATTTTTTTTTAAAATGTTCTAAACTTTTAAATGTTCTAAACTTTTAAATGTTCTAAACTTGTTCTAAACTTTGACTTGAAAAACCATTAAAATTTTAATTTAGTCATGAATTTTTGAAAATTTTCGCCTGCGGCGCAGAAAATGAAAGGAATCTGACTTAAGGACCTCCAAAATTCTTAAAATTTTCACTTGCGGCGCAGGAAAGTACTCTATTTTTAATTCCAGATACTTATAATGCCTTTATATCCGTCTTAACCCCCAAATCCCCTCATATTATTCTTAACCCATCCAAATCCATTTAATCTTTGTTATTTATTATATCATTCTTATATATTCTCTTATTAATCCCGCAAATCACTGATATCCCCCAACCACTCCGAAAAATTTGGCTACTTGGTCAAATTTTTAACTGACCCGACCCGAAACCCGACCCGAGACCCGAAACCCGGACTTTTTTTCGACCCGAAACCCGAAACCCGATCCGAAGAAAATTTTGAAAACCCGACCCGAAACCCGACCCGACTTTTTTCTCAACCCGGCCCATCCCTGCTGCGCACTAGGAAAGACCATTTAATATTCAGTTGCATCGAAGAAAAAGTACACTTCGTTTAAAACTTTGAATTCGGGACGCCGGTTCGATTTAGCTAGTTAAGTTGCATTGAATACCATGGTCTATAATTTTCAACGAAGTTATAGCTCTGCGGCTGCCTGGCCGTGAGGTACCTTGGGGGAAATAATTCTACACATCTTTTTCTTACTTAATTAAAACAATCATAAAATTTCTAAAAAAATATTTAAAAATAATTGAAAAATTTAAAAAGAAAATCAACGTAAATATTGTCCAAACAAGCAGAATTTTGATGATTGAACTAAAAATGTATGGAATTGATGTAGATTTAATTTATGCACAAATTCCTTTTAAAAATGTAACAAATAATTTTGATATAATGAATAATGAAATAATTGAAGAAAATAAAAATAAACAAAGTATTTTAGCATTAGCAGGTTTAAATTAATTAAAAAAAATAAATTTTTTGTTTAAAAAAAGGTTTTCGTTCAACAATAAAAATAAAAGAAATGAATTTAAATCAAAAATTGTTTATTTCATTAATGCGTTTTTTAAAGATTTGGGCAAAAAGTACATATTTTTCTTTTTAAATATTTTAATTTTTAAATTTAAATATAGATCGTTTAATTTATTCAAACATTGCTGGTTATTTAAGTGGTTCTTCTTTAGCTATTATGTCTGCAAAAATATGTATAATATATCCAAATGCTAGTTTACCAATTGCTATTAAACAATTTTTTATTTTTTATAAATTATGGTTATTTTTATATTTCAATTTTTTGAAACAAATATTGTAAAGCTATTTAATTCCTAAGGCTGTGTAGTAGACGGCGTGGTGTAATTGATAACACATCAGTCCGATCTACTGAAGATGCTGGTTCGCTCCCAGCCGACGAATAACCTTTTGCACTAGCTAAAGGAGAGAAATAGCTATAGCCCAAATCTGCTTTACTATATTTCTTTCTTTTTTAGGGGTTGGCCACAACCAATATTATTAAATGAATTGGAAAATGAATTTAAAAAAGCTAGAGAAATTGTTGAACCTTGGAAATGGATTAATAAAGAAGATAATTCTGAATTTGAGACTGAGTTTAGAATTTTTTGAAAATTAATTATAAATCAGCTAGGGAATAAAGGGAAAACGAGGAGGAGAGAACTACGCCCTTGATTAACCGACTGCCTTCCTAATCAACTAATTCCTTTTCCACTACATACCGCATTTCCTGAAATAGTACGGCCGGTCTACTATTTTTCAACCCTCCTCTAAAGGACGTACTAATAAAGGAGGCCGTACTATTTCAGGAAATGCGGTTAGTTGATTAGGAAGGCAGTGGGTTGATCAAGGGTGAAGTTAGAAAGGAGTGGCCCTTTTTCCCGTTCTTTCCTAATTTGTTCAAATTACACCTTAGAATAATTAAATATTTAAAGTTCTGAAACTGATTCAAATGATGAATTATTAGAAGAAGAAAAAGAAGGAAATGATGGGACACAAATGTCTATAATTACATCTGGATTTCCAGAACAAAATACAACATTTAATGTAAATAAATTTACATTCAAAAGAATTATTAAAGAAATTGAAAGAGGTAAATTTAAATTAAAATAATTATTTTTGGGTTGTGAATTAAATTATCAAAGTAACAGTTTTTGGATTGATTAGTAATTTATATAAAATTAAAATTTTGTTTATTATAACAGTTTTTGACCAATTTTTTAAAATTATTTTTGATTACTTTATCTGCAAATAACTAACTTTTCAACAATCAAAAATCCTAATTAATTAGAAATAGGGGGAAATAAATATTATTAAATTAAAAATAATATTAAAAAAATTAAATCTAATTATTAAGCAAACGAAATAATAAATAAAACAAATAATGAACAAGAATTAATTTGGGAAGAATTAATTGAAGAATTAAATTGGCAAAATAATTATGAATATTTTATTTTAATTTTATGTAAAGTAAATGAAGATGTGGTAAAAATAAATATTTAAATTTAAATTAAAAATAAATAATTTTTTCTTAAGAATTGTAATAAACAAAAAGTTTTATTACGTACATATTTATATAATTGGGAAAAAGAAAATGAACAAAATAATTTAATTGAAGAAAGTCATTTAATAACAAATTATGAAAAAAATGTTAAATGTTTTGATAAAAATAGTAAAAGGTTTTCCCCTTTAAATATTTAATTTTTAAATAAAATAAAAAAATTTAAAGAGAATCATCATTAACTTTTTGTAAATTATGGATTATTGGAGTTAATTTAAATTCTTCTAAAAAAATAAATGATAATCAAATTGAACAACTTTTAACATTTGATAATATATTTAAAAATTATTTAACAAAATCTGGATCTGTATATTCTATATTTACAAACAACAAAATTGATTTAAATAAAATGTAAATTTACTAAATTAATTTTAAATCCTATTAAATAATTTTCAGGATCGAAAGCTTTGACCCCATCTTTTAGACAGTTTTGTTTTTATTCAGAAGTCGAAATTTCTCCTAACTGAAAATATGCCGTAATTCGTAAATTGTAACTGTATTTACGACGTAGCACTAATGTTCATTTAAAAAACCCTTACATATTGTCGCCTGACTACGGCTTTATTTCCGAGTCCTTTATTATTAAAAACACATCCTTTCTTATTATTTAAAAGATTAACAAAATTTGTATTTAATTTTTTAAAAATTGTATAAATACCGTAAAAGCTCTAATAGTATAAGCCCTAGCTTATATTTTTAATAAATCACTTTGAGGTGTCTTATATGAGAGATGGTTTTATAATAGAGCCGGGCTTTTATTAGAGCATTTACGGTAAATAATTCTAAAAAATTGTATTTTGTATTTAAAATTATATTTTATTAAATAATTGTTGTAGTTAAGCTGATTGATGACTCTGAATTCTTAATAGTTGATTTTTAGGGTAGCGAGATATCGATAGTGAAATGAGATATGGGCTTAGTTCTTTTAATTTTCTCTTATTATCGATCAATATGCCTGCTTGAATTTTTATAAATTTTTTTTGTTTTTATTTTGGAATCAAAATCTAGTGAAACACGTGTTTTTGGGTATTAAATATAATAAGGGTAAAATATAAAAATATTTGAAAATAATCAGACACATTTAGTGTCATTTTATAGAGAACACTTGTAGTTAATTTTCAAAGATTTAATCCAGCCCATTCATTGAAAATTGAAAGAAAAATTATTAATTTAATTATTTATTTAGAAAAAAATGTTCCAAACTTTTGCACATTACTGTATATTCTACGTACTCTGAAACGTCCCACTCTTGCCGTTCTCTGACTCGGCTACTCTGAAACGGGCTTTACCGAAAATGTAACTTTAGAGTATAACTTTAGAAAATATAACTTTTAGAGTAAAATTTATATTTTATAATTTAATTAATTTTATTTCACAATTTTTATTTAATTATGACTGAACAAAATCACAATATTGAAATAAATTCCTCCTCTGCTCCAACTGAAGGGATTTCGGTAAATAATTCTTTAAAATTTTAATATTTTTTTTATTTCATTTAGTCTGAACTTCTCATAAATGTTATTAGAACATTAACATCAACTTCATCAGATGATCAGCGTCAATTGGAGAGAGAACGTATTGAACAAGGATATCAACAATCTGAGAAGGTTTTCTAAAGAAATTTATTTTATTTAAATTTAATTTTAATTTTTTAAAGAATATTGACAAACTTCTTAGAGGTTTATTTATTTATTTAAACTTTTATTTTAAAATTTTGTTTAGTTAAAAAAATTTCTTAACAAAGTAATGAAAATTTAAAAAATAATTGAAAATTTTAATTTTCGAATTTAATTAAGTTCTTACCGTTTTTGTCCACCAGAGGAATTTTGTGTTTATTTTTAAATTTAAAATTAATGTCTTGAAAGTCTAAAAATAATTTCAAAATTAGTAGAAAGGTTGGTGTTTCCAGTCCCCCTTTTTTCCTCCCCAAGTTTTGGGTAGAAAAAAGGGGGACTGGAAACTACCGTGTCTGATAAATTCGACAGTGACTAAATTCGACAGTGGCTAATTTCGACAGTGAAATTCGCCAGTGACTAAACTCGACAGCGACTAAATTCGACAGTGAACTATTTTTTCTTTTTTCACCGTTTTCCTCGATTTTCGACAGTGATTAATTTCGACAGCGACTAAATTCGACAGTAAAGCCTAATTTTTAAAAAGTGCAGATAATTAGAGAAAAAAGTGAAATTTTCGTTGAAGGTAGATTCAAAGTCGCCGATTCTGCATCCCGTGTTGCTGCGAAACAGGCTAGTTGAGCGCGGTTAAGTGAGTGCCAACGAGCTTTAATCGACTATAACTTTTTAAGCTATGATCCAATTCTAGTAAATAATGTATGATTCGAAAGCCCTCGATAAGCGGCATCTTTTTTCCAACTGATTGGATCAAATCTGATCAATCATTAAAAAATTATAACGCGATAAATGTGAAAAATGCCAAATAATTGCATCTTTCAGTTCGTAGTTTTTATGTTTTTTATGTCGAGTTTAGTCACTGGCGAATTTCAATGATTAGGCTTGATCTTTCTAGTTGAAAAAATGATATCCCCTATTGAGATCTCTCTAAATTACTGAAAATTTTTTATTTTTTTTCTCTAAGTACTCACTCTTTTTAAAAATTAGGCTTTACTGTCGAATTTAGTCGCTGTCGAAATTAATCACTGTCGAAAATCGAGGAAAACGGTGAAAAAAGAAAAAATAGTTCACTGTCGAATTTAGTCGCTGTCGAGTTTAGTCACTGGCGAATTTCACTGTCGAAATTAGCCACTGTCGAATTTAGTCACTGTCGAAATTATATAGCACCGAAACTACACTATTACCGAAAGGTTTTTTTAATAGTTTTTTTTCACTTTTAAAAAAATTTGTGGGAAGATTCTGAACAATTAACAAAATAAATTAACAAAAAAACAAATTCTAGTTAAAATTAATTTCTTTTTAGAGCATCGTGCTGATGTAATGCAATGTTTAAATACTTTTCAATCAGTTTCTCGTTCACTTACAAATAGTCGAGAACAAATTCGAAATGTTAAAAATTCCCTTTCTCTTTGTAAATCATTTTTGCAATGTCGACGGGATGATTTAAATAAGTTTAAATTAATATTCTTTTTTTAATTTTTAATTTATTTTTAAAAATAGATTTTGGCTTGAAAATGCTCATCAAAAGTCTGTTTGTGGGATTTTACGGCAAATGTATTTATTTTTAAATTTTAATTAAAATTAATTAATTTTTGAGGAAACAAATAAGGGATATTGACAAAACAAACGAAACTTTACTGGCAAATAGACAATATGGAGAACTGGCTAAAGTTTTGAAGGATGCTGGTTACTTTTAAATATTTTATTTTTTTAAATTAATTTTTTTAAAGATATTCTTCTGAAAGGGCCTTTGTCTAATCTTGAGGGAATTAGTCAATTAAAATTTATTGTTTCAGACAATTTACAGGTTAATATTTTATTGAGATTGGCTAATAACTTGTTAGCATTTATTCTTTTGTTACAAGTTTGAGTTGAAAAAATTTCATAATTTTTATCTTAAAGTTTTTTTAAAAGATCTTATTGGCTAAATTAATAGAAATTAAAATTTTCCTTATTTTTTCTTTTAAATTTTTTTTGTTTTTAAAGAAATTATTCGAACATGTTGTAAAAGAACTTGTACAAGGAAGTTTTGTTGAACCTTTCGAAATTCAGGTTTTTTTCTTTTGCCAATAAATAATTTAACTTTTTTTAAAATAGATGCTTTCGTTGGCTAAAGATGACAAATTAAAAGAATCTAAAATTGGTTTATCTTTAATTGAACGTTATACAAAAAAGAAAATGTTTGTTTTTTTATTTTAAATAATAATATTTTTTTAATTAAGTTCTCAATTAGAGGATGAAGAATTTTTGAAAAAACGTTATTTTGAACTTTTTGAAGTACTTTCTGTTTTTGGTCAAATAGATTCTGCTTTAAATTCTTTATTTACCCAAATCCCTAATTTATTACTTCGACTGGCTAATGAAACAGCGAAAATGATAATTCAATCAAATAGTGAGGGGAATATTGGATGTCCAAAAGACAGTGAAAATTTAGTTCAATTTGTTAGAATTGTAAGTATTTTAAAAATTTTATGTATCTTTTAAAATTTAAAAATAAATAATTATCCATACGTGGGAATTTCTAAGGAATATAATAAAAACGGTGTTTTGAAAGTAAATTTTTTGTAAGGATATTCTTATTTTCTAGCTACGCCGGTGATATGTTCTATAAATATGAAATTTTAAAATTCTTTTTTTTTAGAATTTTCCATTCTCTTTCTCTGGTTTTAAGTTTAATATCCAATAAAATTTACACTATTTTAGTTAAAAAATTTTGGAAGTAGATGATTTAAAAAATCGTCAAAATTTCCCAAAAAAATTTCAGTTAATTGCCCAATTAAGTGGGTGTTCCCGACAATTTGCTATTCTTTCTGGAGAACTTCAACAAGTTGATTATACTCCAAAAATACCAATTTTACGGCGTTTTTGGGCAATTTCTTTAGAAGGAATGGAAGAAATTTTGAGTGAACATTTAAATGTTTGGCGTAATAAAAAGCGCTCAGATGATGAACAAGAAAGTGGTGGACAAAAAAAGTTATTTAGTTTTGAGAATGCTTCTTTTGTTTCTTATGTTAGTGCATCTTCTAGAAAAAAGGTAAATTTATTAAAGAATCGAAGTTTTGTTTTACTTTGGGATATAGGTAAATATTTTTTGTGTACAGCCCAAGACAACGCGCGGCCATAACAACGCAAATCCTTGGTTAGTTGAAAAATTTCTGCCCCTTATCAATTTTCGTACCAATCTCTTTAGCTCGAGGACTGGAATCGTTTGATACTAAATTTGTTAAGATTCGGAAATTTTGAGGCAAGTTATGGCTTTGCGTTGTTATGGCCGTGCGTTGTTTTGGGCGTGTCCCATATTTTTAATTTTTTGTTCTATGTTGTATGAATTAAGAATTTTTAAAACATTTTTCTTTAATGCTCTTAACTAGTATTATATCTTATAACAAACTATTAGCAAAGATAATTTCATTTCTTACACTTTTTTAGCAAATCCAACTTGTTTGTTCTCCAGATGTTTACAATATTGTTCCAATTTTTCATAAAATTGCAATTTTTAGTCGGGAAATTGAAAATCAATTGGGCGATGATTGCTGGTATTTTTAACTTTATTCTTAATTTTTTTAATATTTTAGTCAAATTGGTACTTATATGCAAACTTTTGTTGCTGAAGCTTTCTTTGAACAAATTCGGGTTGATTTAGAGAATCAGACAGAAAAGGCGTTAAGTGGGACTGAATTATGGGCAACAGTTTGTGAAGTACCTGGTTGTCCTGTGGTAATTTTTTGAATTCTTTTTTGTTATATTATGTCTACTTTAAGAAAGTGCTAAATAGTTGTGTTCGAATAGCGGAGTTGTGTGAACAAATTAATGATTATATTACAAATATGGAACTTTATGCTCTCAGGTTCATTTAAATATATTTTTGATTTGTTTCATTCCCTTCATGTTTTTTAATTTCGCTTTTCAATTAACGCAAAAATTGCCTATTTTTGCTTATTTGAATCCCTTCTATCTGTGTCCTTATAATTCATTACAATTTAATTTTTTTAGATTTGCTTCTTTTTGGATATTAATTCTTGAACATTTTATCAAAGCAGTATCTGAAAAATATTCTCAAGTTTTTAAAAATATTTTTTAAAAATTTAAAAATATTTATTTACAGATAACAATGCTTCGACAACCCCAAGGAGATGTTTTAGTTGAATATCCTAAATTAAGTGCTGCTTGGGTTGTTGATGAGGATATTGCCCGTTTATTAAAAAGTTTGCCAAGTTGGACTGCTGTTCAAAATTCTTTATTTTCTTCTTCATCTGAACAAATTTCAACACCTTTTGGCACTTCTTCAAGTCTTTTTGGATTAATTGAAAGTGAACAAGAAATTAGAGAAAGAACACAACGCGAATCTGAAATTTTAATTGGAAATTTGGGAACCCAAAAACAATTAAAACAAAATGAATTAATTACTTCTCTAGATAATATTAAAGTAAATAAATTAAATATTTTTTTTTCGGAATCAAAAAATATTTTTCATTAAAGATTTTGGCTTATTTGCATGAATCACTTCAATGGTTTATTGGAAGAATTAAAGAGCTTCTCTCTGGATTATCTCCAAAAGCCAAAGAATTAACAAAAACTCGAATACAAATAAGTACAGCTGATGGAGTTCTGTTGGAGCAGGTTTTTTATTTTGAGTTTGACTAATTTATTTTTTTAAAATTTAGATGCTTTGTGATGCAATAAATGATCGAATAGGAACTTTAGAGGTGAATTTTAACAATAACACGACTTGGGGTTTTAAATTAACGAGTATTGGGTTTGAATTATTTTGAGCAGCTTCAAATGTGGAAAGATTTTTAGAGAAAATTGTTTAGAAATATTTTTTGAAATTAATCAGGTTTTGCTATGAGTATTGCAAACAAAATACTTTGAATAATAAAAATTTCAAACAAAAATTGTCTACACATTTTCGATAATTCCAAAAAATGTTATCTTCCTAAAATGAATAGATTTTTTTGGAATTATTCAAAATAAATTTATTTTGACTACATTTTTACTTAATTTTAGTTTAAAAATCAAAATTAATTTTTTTTAATTTAAAGAAATTATCTGATAGTATTTTATTAGTACTTCATTTGGAATTGCGTTTTCATTGTTTTTTCCATTTATTACCAATTACTATAAATCAAAATTCTTCAACAATATTTACTCAACAAGAAGAAATGGACAAAGACGTTATGGAATTTGGACGTGATTTGACACAATTACATTCAATTTTACAATCAAATCTTAGTGGATGGAAATTAAAATATATGTTTGATGGTTTAGGTTATTTGTGTTCTTCAATTTTTATTCATTCTTGGTAAATTATTTTTTTTTGAAAATCTTTCAAAATTTAAAAAATTTTGTAGTCATTCAGTCAATAAACTTTCTGAAATTGAACATAAAAGAATTTGTAGAGCTATATTTACTGTTCAAAAATATTTAAGTCAATTATCGGGGTTTGCCTAAAATAATTTAATTTTAAATTAAAAATTATTTTTTTAGAAGGCCAGAAACAGATATGCAAAGAGCACAAATGTTTTTTGAATTTTTAAACAGAGTGAATTTATTTAAGAATAAAGATTAATTTATTTTTAAAAATCTAGGATCTTGATCAACTTTTCTCTACAATAATTGAACGTGGTGCTACATTTTCTTTTGTTGAATATTCAATTCTTTTGGCTTTAATGATACGTTCACACCCGCAATTACATTCACAAGTAAAGAATTTTTAATAAAAATTATTTTTAATTTAAAAATTAATTTTTAAGCCCGGTGCATTGGAAACAGCAACAAAACAACTAAGAGAAATTCTTACTCAAAGATCTAATCAACATGAAAAATAAAATTTTTAAATTAATACTTTTTAGATAAAGGTCCAATATGTATTTTATTCACACAAATTACTGTTCCGTGTGTTTGTCACTTTTTATTCGTACAAAAATTAAAAAAATAATCTTTATTTAATTTTATGTTTGCATTTGTACCTAAATGAACTCAGTTGTGCTTATCATTTGACAAAATAAAAGAATTTCCATATTGCTCGTTTTGTTTGAATAAAAAATAAAAATGTGTTTTCGCAAATTTTTGATATAATTTTTTAGTAGTTTTACTTGAAAAAGTCTAGAGGTGCCAAAATAAGTACGAAAAGAAGCCCTTTAAATTATTAAATGTTCTTTTACTGTAAAAATGCCAAAATTTTAAATTATGTCAAATCTTGCAAAATTTCCCTTATTTGTTCGTACGGCTTTTCTACATCCTCTAACCAAACTTTGACAAAACGTATCAAATCTGAATCTAAAGCGGTTGTTGTAGGTGGTGGGATTGTTGGTTTATCTACACTATATCATTTATCCAAAAAGGGTTGGTCTGATGTTTTATTACTTGAAAGAAAAGAATTGACTAGTGGATCAACCTGGTATGTATAGTTTTGAAAATACATTATTCTTTCTAAATACAGACAGTATGGGGGGTTACTTTATTCATTTATGTATAGGTATGTATACAGATCTAAAACAATTTTTTAAACCTCACCAAAAAATAATACCTCAGTCTACTTGATTTTAAATTTTAAGGCATGCTGCCGGTCTTCTCCCAATTTTTAATATCAACTACACTATCGGTCAACTTCACAAATATTCTGTAGAAATGTATCAAAGACTAGAAAAGGAAACAGGCGTTGATATCGGTTTTAGACAATGTACTAATCTTCGAGTAGCTTGTACAAATGACCGTTGGGATGAGTATATGTATTATAAGGGTATTGCTGACACAATTAATGTCCCAGTTAATATACTAACAAAAGAGGAAGTTAATTTTTCTTCAAATATCTTCATTGTATTTTTTCTTTAAAGGTTAATAAATTATGGCCTATTTGCAAAATTGACGGTATTTTGGGAGGAATTCAGCATCCAGATGATGGATACCTCCAACCTGCAAATTTGGCACAAGCCTTTGCTAAAGCTTCTCGGGATCTAGGAGCTACAATTTATACACAAACCCCTGTAATTGATATTAACCCTTTTTATGTTGAAAGTTAACGATATAATTGTATAAAAATTAATTTGAAAAATTTAGATTCTAATAAAAATAAATGGTTAATTAAAACAAACAGAGGTAATATAATTACTGATCATGTTATTACTGCAACAGGAAGTTTTGCAAGAAAAACTGCTAAAATGATGGGAATTCAATTACCTGTATTGCCAGTAGAACATCATTATTTAGTTACAGAACAACATCCAATTTTATTAGAAAGAAAGAAACAAGGATTGCCCGAATTAAGTGTAAAAATTATTTTTTTTAGAAATAATTACAAACAAAATTTTTTGTTTAAAGATATTTAGAGAAAGTGATAATTCTTGGTATATTCGGGAAGAGAATGGAGGCTTTATTGTTGGTATTTATGAGAAGGGAGCACCAGCTTGTTATTTAGAAGGGCCGTCTGAAGATAGTGAATTTGAGCTTTTTCAAGTAAAAAAGAGTTAATTTAAATGCCAACTATGACGAAACCTTTCCATGAGAGACTAAATAAAGACATCCCCAATTCAAGAATTTCCCTCCTCAATCATTTAAATCGTATATTCCTTTCAATCATTTACCTTTAGCCATGCATGGAACGAATTATGCCACATATTGAGAGGGCAATAGATCGAGTGCCTGCCTTTGGTGAAGTTGGTATCAAAACAATATATAATGGTGCAATTCCTTTTACTCCGGACGGAGTTCCTATTGTTGGGCCAGCTCCAGGACTTTATAATTATTGGCTTAGTGAAGGCCATACGTTTGGTATTACAGCAGCTGGAGGTGCTGGATGGCAGTTAGCTGAATGGATAGTTACTGGTGAACCAAACATTGATATGACGAGTTTAGATCCACGTCGATTTGGGGATTATGCCTCACATAAATGGATTCAGTTAAAGTGTGAAGAAGTTTCTGAAAATATCTTTACTATACATTACCCTGATGGTAGTTTTTGATTTTTATATCAAAGTGACGGGCAAATATTGGGATGAGATTTATCACAAAGGAGGAGGGGGGAGTTGCTTAGGTTCTCTGTAAGAGTTTAAACGCTTTAGTGAGATTCATTATTATTATTTAGAAGAAAGGTCCGCTGGCAGACCACTCTTAACATCTCCTTGTTATGAACGTATGGCTAATTTAGGAGCAGTTTTTGGTTCAATTTGTGGATGGGAAAGACCTAATTGGTAACTATATAATGAAATTGACCTTAAATTATTAAACTCGCCTCAAAAGTATTAAATTATGTATTATCATTGGTACTTGATTAAATAATTTTGCTCATTGATGTATTAAAGTCGAATCTCGATATAGATAGTATACTCCACTAATAATGTAAGGGATACCCTTACTTTAGTGTATAAATGCTAATTTTACTGCACAATTTTTTCAACTACACTATTCGAGATCCGACCGTATCATTTAAGGTTTGTTCCTTCTGAAACATATAAATTGGCAAAAGAAGAATTAGGAATTGGCGTGGATGTTTTACTAAATAAAAATTGGTCAAATCCACGTGAAGAGAATGGCCCTATCGTAGAAAAGTTGAAAAAATTTAAGAAATTTTATTCAATTTTTTAAATAATTAGATGGTCTTTTCGCCGCTCTAATTATTTTGAACATGTTGGAAACGAAGTTTTAAATGTTCATAAAAATGTTGGTTTAATGGATACTTCTTATAATGCAAGATTAATTGTAAAAGGTCGAAATGCAAGAAAATGGTTAAATTCAATATTTACAAAACCTTTACCTGAAGAAAAAGGCAAAATACAACAATGTTTTCTTTTAAATAAAAATGGATGTGTTATTGCTGAATTTACAGCTTATGAATATATTAATGATTGTTTTTATTTAATTTCTTCGGGTAACTAAATTATATATTTAAGATCAACTTGATTTTTTTTAATTTCAATAAATATTTTAAATTTAAGCTAAAATAAATTAATAAATTCATTATTTTTTTATTTCCCTACGCTGTTTATGTCTATGATATTTTGAGGAAATTACTTCCGGTAAATGAAAATGTTCAATTATTTGATTGTACAAAAGAAATGGGTATTTTTATGTTAGTTGGCCCTAACAGCTCTAAAATTATTGAAAAACTTTGTCCACAAATTAATTTATCTGAAACATCTTTTCCATTGAATTTTGGACGTAAAATTTGTTTGGGACATTGTTGGGTAGAAGCTTTTCATAAAAATTATTTTGGGGAAATTGGATGGGAATTACTTCATCCTTTATTGATGCAAAATACTTTGTTTGATTTAATATTTGATTCTGGTGAAGAATTTGGTATTAAACCTTTTGGAGTTTATGCGGCAAATTCTATGGCTGTTGAAAGTAGTTATAGGTAATTTTTGAATTGTTAAAAATTATTTTCCTTATTTATTGGGTACAGGGAGGAAAACACAGGGAGGGAATACACTGAGAAGTCGGGTTTTTGCGTCGGGGTTTTGGAAATTTTTAAGTCGAGTTCTAAGTATGTATAATTTTTATTTACATACATTTACTATATTTTTAAAATTTATTTCCATATTTATTAGACAAATTAAACACGAATTAACCTCTGATTATAATCTTTGGGAGTGCGGATTACATGCTCATGTCGACGACCTTACTGACAATAATCGAGATTTCCCTGGCAAAAATAGTCTTATTCATTTGAAAAATAAAGAACGTTGGAAATTTATAACATTAGAAGTGTTTGGAGTAGAAAATGTAGATGCACGGGGAGGAGAACCAATTTTTGATGAATTTGGTCAAAAAATTATTGGAAGAGTAACTAATGGTAGTTTTGGTTGGATAATTAATAAAAGTTTAGCTCTTGCTATGGTTAATCCAAAATTTGCTGAAGAAGGTTGGATTATTTAAAAAATTTTATTTTTAAATTTTAGGCACACTTGTTAAAATTAAAATTCTTGGAAGGTTATATTCTGCAATTCAAATACATGAGAATCCTTTTGAAGCTCAAAAATCTTCTTTTAAATAAATTTAATAACCGTAAAGAAACCGATATTTTTTATATTTAAATTAATTTAAAAATAAATTATTATAATTTTTGTTTTTATCCTTTACAAAGATATCTTAAAAATTATTTCTTTTTGCATATTTTTAATAATAAAACTTTTAAAATTAAATAATAAGAGTAAAATCAGTACCTATTAAATAATAAACTTTCCACATAAAACTCTAATTTTATGTGATATTGTGATCCTGACTAAAATTGATTTCGACTCTTGACTCAAATTAGGCGAATTTTTCCTCAGAGAAGGATGGCCAAGCATAATTAAAATAAAATAACTTTTTTGTCTATAGCTTTTTTACTTCAAATCCTTTTTTGTCGTCATAGCAACATTCAGATTCTACATATTAATTTTTATAAAATTTTATTTCAAAAAACTTTAAATATTTAAATGTTATCCAACAAAATTTCTTCCGACGAATTTACTTCTTCTTCTAATTCCTCTGAAAATAAACATCAAACTTCAAATATTTCTAATAAAAAGTTAATCGAATCTAATGATAAAAACCGTCAGAGTATATTCCAAATCCACCCATTAAAGGAAGTATTTACTGACAAAATTGGATATTTATTTAATCATGGAAAAAGTAAAAATGTAAAAAAAGAAGATAAAAAAGAAATTTTAACAAATAAAAATGAAAATTCAAATAATGAACAAAATTTAAATGAAGAAATAAAGGTAAATAAATGAGAAAAAGAAATTAGTTTTTTTGTCAATTAACCTTTTAAATAAAAAAAAGTTTAATTTTTTTATTAAATTATTTATCTCCATAAATAAAATACTATTTTTAGCAGTAAAATTATTAAATTTTTTTATAAAATTTTTAATTAATAAATTATATTTAGAATAATGAGGATATTAAAAATAATAAAGAAGAAAAAGAAGAAGAAATACTTCAACCTACTTCAAGTTCAACCAAAGAAAAGCCATTAGAATCTAAACCAAAGTAAAATATTTTTATTTAAATTATTTTTAAATTAAATTTTTTCTAAATTTAAAGAAGACGTCTAAGAAGGCGTGGATCTGTTGTCCAACCTTTAAACAATGATTCTATTGAAATAACTAAAAATAGTTAATATTCAAATAATTTAAAAATAAATATAAATATTTTAGTTGATATAAATACAATATCTAACTCTTTTTTGGTACGTCCACATTCTTTAAGTGCCAGACATATACAAAAACCTTTAGAGCAAAGTCAACCGAATGAATGGATCTATATTCAATTACCTGGGGCCTATTTCAATTGTCCACAGATTCTGCATTCTGTGCACAGAACACAGATTCTGTGGAAATTCTGTTTCAATTAAATTCTGTGTGCACAGAATCTGTGGTGCCCGCAGATTCTGCGGAAACATCCAATGATTCTGTGGAAACATTCCGCAGATTCTGTGGATGAAAATTTCTGTGGAAAATATAAAAATCTGTGGATTTTTTCCACTGATCCACAGAATTTGTATTTCAATTATTTTTCTGTGGTTCTGTGTATTTTTTCTTCTAAATTCAAATTTTTTATTTCCGCGTTTTTGAAAATAACAGTTTTATTGAAACGAAAAATGGTTTGGACAGTTCGGTACTACCGCAGTATTAATGGTACCTGATTTTTTGAAGTAAAACTTTAAAAATTCTTAAATTAAACTGAAAAATATTGTAAAGATTTAAAAATTTTCCCTCCAAATCACATAACATCCCTTTAAATCTCTTTGATATCACTTTAAAACCGCTGATATACCGCTTAATTTTCTTGTTCATCCAATATCCTTAAATCTCCAATTAAATTAATGTCCTAAAGCAGGGTTCGGATCGGAAAAATCAGGAGATGTCGATCCGACATGTGGCTTTTTCAAACTACGATAGAAGTTGTTGCAAGGGAGGGAAATGTTTGGGGATTGTTTAGTCAGAAATTGAGGTTCCTGGAAATCGAAAATGCCTGGAATCCAAAATTATAGTCAAATCGGAACTTTAAAATCGTAGAGGAGTGATTAAGTGGGATATCCATTGATTTTGAGGTTTAATATATTGGAGTGATTAAGGAGGAAATCTATCATTAAATAGGAGGAGAGATTATGACGGATATCAATGAGAGATCATGGGAGATATCCCAGTATACGCTATACAGATATATTCTATAGATCCTGGTAAACATCCCCTCATTAGAGATATCCATGATGATTAGAACATCATAGCTCTAAATTTCAGAATCTCTCACGTTTTTTATTTTTTTATTGCTTGAATATAACAAAAACTGCGTAAAAAAGATGTACCTTTTTCAAAATTAATTTTAAGCAATAATTTTAGGTAATAAAATTATAATTTTTATATCAAAAAATAGAGAATGATTCAAACTTTAATAATCTTTAAAAATTTTGAAATTTGGTTAAGCCTAGGCCTAGAAAAAAATTGTTAAAGTTTTTCCACAGAAAGTTCGCAGAAAAAATTTTAGGGTGGATTTTTTAAAGAATTCTGTGTATTTTCCGCAGACCACAGAAATAATTGAAACAGAAATGCACAGAATCGACTAAAAAAGCCACAGATCTGTGGATTTTTTTCTGTGCACAGAAAAATAATTGAAATAGAATTCTGTGGTTTTTGCATGTTTTTGGATGTTTTGCAGAATCTGTGGATGTTTCCACAGATTCTGTGCATGTTTCCACAGAATCTGCGGACTTCTTTTTCCGCAGAATCTGTGGAATAATTGAAACAGAATTTCTGTGGTTCTGTGGTCTGTGCACAGAACGCAGACCGCAGAATCTGTGGACAATTGAAATAGGGCCCTGATCGTTTGTTTTTTCTAAAATAAAAAAATTATATATATGTAGTTGAATTATGTTTATCACCATAAGGAATTATAACCGAAATGGAATTACATATGTTCCTTAAATTTGTTAATTTTTAAATTAATGTTTAAAATTTTCCTCTTCAAAAATTTATTGCAAATAATCTACATAATCTATCCCATAATCTATAAAAAACGATTTTTTCGTTTGGGACTGGGATTTTTTTGTAAAATCGGGTTTTTTGTAACTTTGTTTTTATGTGGAAGCTCCCCACAATTTATATGGATCGGGCAATATTTAGTGTGGTGGAGGTTATAGCCGTGCTGGGAATATATCCCAGTGGGAAAATAACGAGATTCAATTTTACTCAAAATCAGGTACATTTAAAAGAACAACGGAAAAAGATTTACAAAATTGTCACCAAACTTTGGACAAACCAACAGATAATTTCGATATAAAAAATTACCCTTCAGAATTATCTTCTGTTATTTTTGCAAAAAAATTACATTCTTTATTCCATTCAATTTCAACTATTTCCCAAGGTTTTCATTAAAAAAAATAATATTTATTTATTTATTTATTTAGGATTTCTGGCTGGAATTGCTTTTTCTCATGCAATTTTTATTTTCCTTTTTTTACCAGAATTAAAGGGACACGAAAATCTAGTAAATATTTATTCACAAATGGCTGTTCCAATACAAGCTTTTTTCTATATTTGTCTTTCAATTGCAGTTGTTGATGCTTTAGACGGGTAAAAAATTTTTTTAAATTGTTTTTTAGATTTTAAATTATTTTTTAAAAAAGATTTTCCCCTTTTCCTCAAAATAATTTTTGGGGGTTTATAAACAATTCTTTATTATCTTTTAATTTTATTTGTATTATTTGTTGGTTTTGTTCATTTTTTGTTTCGTTATTATGTGCTCAATTAGACGAAGAATTTGCTAAAAATGGAGTAATTCAAAAGTAAATTTAAATAAAAATATTAAAAATAAAATAAATATTATTTTTCAAGTAATTTAAATAATAATAATTTCTTTCCCCCTTCAACTTCAATAATTATTTGGAAATATTTGAGTATAGTTAGAATTATTTTTATATTTATTGGTTGGATTTTAACATTTTGTAGAAAACCTAATAATTATATTACTAATGAATTAGATAAAATATTATTAAAAGAAGGAAAGGTGGAGGCAATAAATAAACAAAATTTGGATGAAATTATTTTGAAAAAATAATTAAGTGTGTTTTCTTTAAAATCTCTTTTCTTATATTAATGGTAACAATATAATTAAGTTTTTGGCTAAAAATTAAATTCTTTGGCAATTTTTTTCAAAATTTATTTTAATATATATTTTACAAAAAATAAATAAATTTAAAAAATTAAAAGCTATTTTCTTTTAAAAATAAATAAAAATTATTTTTATTTTCCTTTCTTCTTTGATTTATTATTATAAATTAATGGAATCCAGCTAGAAGGGTAATTATCCCTTTTATATATTGAATTACTAAAATCAGCATCAAAATAAACTTTTGCATTTCTTTGTTTTAATAAATACCCAATCCACCATCCAAAAGTTGAGGATGATGCTGTTATTAATAAAGTATTACAAATTGTTATGGCAAAGCACATATCTTCCCCTCTTTTCATTGATTCGGGAATATAAACATTTTTGGACTTTTAATTAAAATAAATATTTTTATTTATTTAATTAATTAATTAAATATATATTACTTTATTTGTAATTGCCAATTGACTTAAAAATACTTTGTCTTCGCCAAGGAGAACAATAGATATTGCATTAGTATTTTCGGACTAGATAAATTTAAAAAATTAATTTTTTCTTAAATTTGTTAATTAATAATGTGCTTTACCAAGGCGAACAAAAGATTACAGTGGCGAAAATTTAATTAAGAATGAGATAACTTTAATGTAGTTACATTCATCCTTATCCGATCCTACCGCGTTATAAGAACTCTACCGAGTAATGAATTTTTGAAAATCGAAAAGCACCCATCATTGCATACTTACCCCTACCCGAAACTATTATTAAATATTTTGATTTTTTCCTCAACATCCTTTTTATATACCTGTAATTCGTTTTCTATAATAAATTCTATTGCTTTCTCTGTAAATTCTTTATCAGTAGCTTTGTGCCATTTTTTCCATTCTGGCTTAGTAAAATCGCCACGGCGAGTAAATACACAAAATTTGTGGGAGTTATCATCTCTAAAAATTTTTAATTTATTTAAAACTCTAGTCTTTTCAAAAATGGTAAAAAACAAACTTAAATAAATTTTCAATTCGTTTGTCAACCCTTCTTTGAACACTTTTTGAAAATGTAAATAATTCTTTAATTTCATTCTCAATTTTATCAAAATATTTTGGTGATTGAGGCGGGGGTGCTATTATTAAATACTTTGATATATATTTATTTAATATTCTAAAAAAATTTAAAAAATATTTTCTTTTATTTTTTCTAACAAACTTTGGATTATAATATTTACAACAATCATCTTCAAATGTTCTATCATAAAAAGAATTATCAATTCCCTCAACATCCTTTTAATATAAAATTTTTGTTAATTTCATAATTATTTTTAATTAATTTACAAAAAAATATCTGACTGCATGAAAAACGGGAAAAGTATTTTCAATTTCTCGCGGACTGTTAAGTTTTTCACATGTCCATGTATTTGTATATGAAATACCCGGAAATCTACCAATTGATTTGGCTAAACTGTAAAGAACTGCAAAACGCCACATCTAAATAAATAATTAATTGAGAGTTTATTAATGTTTGGATATTACAAAATTTGCTCATACTCATACACAATTCTTACAGTCCTTATTTTCTACTCGTGCTTGAGAAATATGAAAAAATGGTTTGTTACACACTGTAGGGGTCTAAATAAATGGCTAATAATTTCAAAAGAGTATCTTCTAACCTAAAATCGCTCTTTTTTAATTTGAAGTCTAAACTTTTACTGTAGATTTTAAAGTAAATTAACTTTAAAAAATAATAACTTGATTAGCAAGTCCACCACAATCCCCATTCCAATATTTTGGAATTTGCATTAAAAGATATTTTGTTTTACTATTATTTGGTGAGGGAAATGATTTGAGTAAATGATGTATTTTTATTTTTTTATTAAAAATAATATTATTTGATTCATAAAATAATAATTGTTTGATTTTAGAATTTTGTATATTTTTGTTGTTATTGTCTTTAAAATTAATTAAAATTTTATTTAAAATTTTTTAAATTTTAATTTAAAGAAAATATTTTAAATAAATAATCTAAAATTTGAAATTTTTTTAAAATATTTTTATTTAAATAAAATATTTAATTATTTATTACTTTCTCCATTGAAGAAATCTGCAAATAATAATATTACAAAAGCAATTAAAATTAATCTTATAGTTTTTATTATTCTTCTTACAAAATTCATTTTAATAAAACCTAAAATTTAAAATAAATATTTTTATAAATTATTTAATTATGTTTTGATTAAAATTGACAAACCCAGATACTTTTCACATTTCATAATTTTTAAATAAAAATAATATTTATAAAATAACAATTATTTAATTAAAATATTTAATTTTAATTAAATTTATTTATTTTTTATAACTTTTCAAAAAATATTATGGATTAAGATTTAATTACCTAATTAATTTATTATATACAAATTACATAAAAGATGAAGACAAAACATCATAACAATTAGCAGAATGTCTGGCGTTAATAAAACATCAAATTTTTTTCTTTCTATGGAAAATTTTTGTTTTTTATTCCTCATAATTTTAATTAAAATATTAGATATTTATCTTTAATTATGTTATTATTTTCATCTAAATAATTAAAGATTAAAAAAATTAAAGTTGATTTTATCGTTTTTTTGGAGGGAAAAGGTTTTTAAAATTACCTAATTAATAATTAAAAAAAATAATCAGAAAATTATTTATTTTCTAAAAAAAAACTCTGAAAAAATAAATTATTTTTTAATAATTATTTAATTGTTTTAAATTATTTTTTTAAATTTAAATTAATTTTTTAAAGTTTTATTTTATAAAAGAAGTAACATTAAATAAATTTAAATATTTTTTGACGGAGATTAGAACGATAAATGAACAAAAATTAATTCTATTAAAGATTTTCTTTTATTTATTCAAAAAATAATTGCAAATAATTTTTAATTTCTTTAAAAGATCATCAACTAAATTTAAAAAAATGTCAGAATTAAAAACCTCAAAAATATTTTATTTATTAATTTTTTTAATTTCAATATTTATTTTTGTTTTAATTATATTAAAATATATAAGAGAAAGTAAATAATTTTGTAAAAAATATTTTAAAATTAAATTTTAGTTAATTCTAATTCAATAAATGATCAAATTACTAAACAATATGGAAGTAAAAAATATATAACTATAAATTTGGAGACATCACAAGATTGTTGTGGAGGACTAGGAAATATGGTGCTTTTTAATTTCTAAGAATTATACTAATGGGGGTTGTCCTATCTCTTCATTTCCAACATATTTCTGCTTTTCTCACAAAATTGTACGACTTAAACATTAACGCTCAATCCAAATGTTCATTATTAATGAGTCCCTTTCAGTGGTTGGAATTTTGAAATTTGCTCGTACTAGTACTTCGTACACAGGCACGAGTATACGAATTTTGATACGAGCTTCCAAACACTGGTCCCTTACTAAATATTTCAAATAAAAATCCAAAGATGTGGAGAACAGCCTCATTACTTGGAATTGGGCTAACTTTAAATAGAACAGTTTATTTTGACAAAACTCATTCATGTTATTATCAATATAAAGAGAAATATAAAGAAATATTTAATAATAGCTATCAAATATTTAAATTTATGGCAAGTATTTATTTTATTTAATTAATTAAAATGAAAATATATTTACAGAATCCAAATCCAAAATTTGTCAAAAATGTGGTTTTTGCGGGGCCTTGCTGTAAATTTGCAGATTTACATACGTAATTAAAAAGGTTCTGATAACGGATATGATTATATAATTTTAAAATAATTTTTAAGTTTTTTGTTATTAAACAATAATCCTTAATCCGTTCTCATTTTTATTTATGTTTTAATTTAAAAAAATTTTTTAAGTTTAAATAAAAGTAAAGAGGCAATAATTAAAATAGAAGGAAATTATCTTCAATCTTACAAATATTTTAATAATTATATTGGAGAAATTAAAGAATTTTATAAATTTAAAGAAAATATTAAAAAAGGAGGGGAATTGATTGCTAAAAAATTATTTGGGTATTTAAATAGAAATATTAATTAAATTAATTTTTTAAAGAAATGGAACAAAAGATTTTAAATTTTGTGTTCATATAAGAAGGGGAGATTTTATTAAAATAGGGCAAGCAAGTAGAAAACAATTTACAAATAAAGCAATTAATTTTTTGATTCCAAAGTTGGAGGTAAATAATTTAAAATTAAAATATTTTTAAATTAATTTAGAAAAAATTTAATCGAAAAAATATTTCAATTGTTCTTTTTGGGAAGGATAAAAATTTCATAAATGAATTGGAAATTGATAAAAAGGTAAAATATTTAAGTAAAGAGAAAATTTAAAATTATTATTAAAATTTTTTGCCAAACACGAAAAATAATTTTATTAAATTATGTAATAATTATTTATTTAGTATAAAATATATATGCCGGAAATTAACAATTCAGGAGTAAATATGTATTTTGCAATTAATTATTGTAATGCCTATTTAATAACAGCATCATCATCAACATTTGCTTGGTGGATTGGATTTTTAATGCCAGAAGAAGTTCCTATATTTTATTATAATTGTCATTTAGAATGTATACATATAAAAAAGAAAGATTATTTTTTACCAAAATGGAAAGGAATTAATTATAATTATTTGGGAAAATTAAAATTTGTTTAAAAATATTTTTTAATTTCTTACTAAATTCGTATTAGGTCCTACCTCAAAATTATTATTTTATTTATTTATTTATGAGCAACCACACGGTATAAAGAATATTTAAAAAAAGATTTGGAAATATTCTTTTTAATAATTAAAAAAATTAACATTTGTTCTCTCCATTTAATAGTTAAAAAATGATATAATTATATTAAAAGACTTGTTCTCGACCGGTTTTTTAACCCCAAATATTTTCCAAAAATTAACCGGTTCAATTAAAATATAAAATTAAAACATTTTTTAAATTTTACTTAATCAATTTATGTCTCTATTAATTTAATTATAAACTTTTTTTAAAAGAAAATTCAAGTTTATTTTACTTATTTTGTTAAATTGTCGCGCATTCCTTTTAAAAAGTGTAAAAAGAAAGAAAAAAAGAAGAAATGTCCTATTATAATTATTTTTCTAATATTTTAAAATCAATGCTCTTAAATTTTATTTTTTATTTATTTATATTAATTACAATTGATGCTATATATTTAAAAAGAGTTAATGCTAGTCAACGTGAAATACCAAGAAAAATTAGATTAAAACATATACAAAGGGATATACAAAATAAATTAATTATGTAAAGTATTTAAATATTTTAAAAAATATTTTAGCAAGGGGCAAGGAATATTTTTTGTTACCATTCGATAGGGTACCTGAGATTTTTTATTGAAAAGTAATGCCCGTTATATGGAAAATGACTTTGGGTCGAGTTCTGGCCATTCAATGTATCAGTTTTTGTAAGTGATTGAGTACATATAAGGACAAAAAACAAGAATTTTAATTCTCCTTAATTTTAGTTTTTAGATGTTATAAAGGAAGGGTAGTTAGAGGAGTTTGTGTTTGTGATCAAAATTATATTGGAAAATTCTGTGAACGTGAAATGCATTGTTTAGGATTTGAAAGAACAGAAAATGGATCGTTTAGTTTTTATTTTTAAATAATTTCTAATAATTATTTAGTTGTTATAATTGTAAAGAAAATTTTTGGGGAACAGATTGTGACAGACCAAAATGTAAACATGGAGGGAAAGAAAATAATTACACACAAATATGTGAATGTATTTCCCCTCATTCTGGTGTACATTGTGAAGTATTACGTGTAGAAGATGTTTATTATCATTATAATACAAGAGTATATTTAATTTAAAAATTAGTTAACATTTAAATTAAATACCTAGGCTTATATTATTGGCCCAATTGGTGTACTTTTAATTATTCCGATGGTTATTTGCTTCATTGTTTGTGAAAGAAATGCAAGAAAAAGGCAAATTAATCGAATACAGAAAACTTGGGCAAATGAATTAGAAAATAAAGAGGAAATGAAAGAAAGAAGAAATTCTTTACTAAATTAAATTTTATTAATTTTTTAAATTTAAAAATTGTTAAATACAAATTTTGTATTTTAATTTTGAATATAAAAATATTTGAATTTCTAAATAAGTAAAATCTTTTTTCATTTTGCTATTAATAATATTTTTTAAGTATTTTATAACAGAATTTTTTATTATGAAGGGAAAAAAGTATAAGAATTTGCATTATTGTAATCAGTTTAATATACTATTAAAGATAATTCCAACTCTGATCCAATTCTATTTACTTTATGTAATTAGGTAGATGTAATTTTTATATCTAACTAGCGGAAGGGTTTCCAAATTCTAGATCATTACAAATATTTATAATTAAGAACATCTCATACTTACTCATTTACTATACAGATTTAGTTATATCTAATTTCAACATTCAATCATTTTTATTAATTTTTCTAAATTTTGTGGAGATTGTTATAAAAAGCATCATTTTATTGTAAAGATTAACCACTATTTTCATTCAGATATTTAATATAATAATTATTTAAATAGACTGTAATGGAAAATACTTTATTTCTAAATATTAAAAATATTTATTCCTACTAAATAATAATATTTATTTAATATTATTAATTACAAATAAATTGGCTAATGAAATATTCATTATCTTTTTCTTCAATTTAATTTTCTCCATTACTGGAAGTTATCTGAAGGTTCAGGATATGGTTCTATTTTATTTTCTTCTTTTTGAAATTTATGGCTAAAATTTAAATAATTAAATAAAAAAATAATTAGGTAAGTAAACCTTGGTGGATTTATTTCTGATTCAAAATTATTTTCTTTTTCTAAAGTGCTTGGAAAATCAGGTAAATTTTCATTATCTTTTGGCTTATCAAGTAAATTTTTAAAGAAATTACTTTCACGTTTTGGTCGTTTAACTTCTTTATTTCCTTTACTTTAAATTAAAAAAATATTTTTTAATTAAAATTAATGAATTTAAAAATAAACATACAGATTTTTACTTTTAATATTTGCTTCAGATTGTAAAATAAAAAGGTAAATAACGAGTAAAGCGATAATACAAAATTTATAATTTTTCATTTCAATCTAAACGAAAAAATTGCTAATATTTTCGGAAATTTTAGCTATTGACGGAATATTCGTCTCTAAAAATAGTTCGTGACAGTCATTACCAGGAAACTAGCCGACACAAAAAATAATTCCAGCTCTTAGGAATCGGAAATCGGATCGGGAGATCCCTGGTCATCATCAGTTAGTCTTGATTAGTGCATGGATTTATAGTCAGGCAATGGCTTATATTTTTGTTTTCTTTTTTCTATATTTTGTTCAAATTAATCTATTAATTAAATTTATAAAGACGAAAATTCCGTTATTTGTAGAGAGAATACATATTTATTTTTATCAAAATAACCTTCATTTATATATTTTAAATATTTATATAAGCAAAGTTGTTGATTATTCAGATGATTTAAAAAAATAAACTTTTAAGCCGATTTTTTAACCGTAAACAAAACACTCAAAAGAAATCACTCTAGAATGAACAAAATTAATTTTAAAATCCTCTTTAAATTCATCAATAAGCAAACAAAAACAAAAAATTTTTTATTTTTGTACTTTTAAAATAAAAATTGAGAATAAAAAAAAAGTTTAAATTTAGAAATCTTTGTATAATCTACAATTATTTTTAGTTTAAATCTGTTTTTTGACAGTCCCCTTAAAATAAGGGAGTATTAAAAACTGTTAAATATCAGAGGAGATATTTACAAAAAATGAAATTTAAATTTTAAATTTAATTTACCAAAAAAATTCGAAATATTTTGTCAGAAACATTTAAACAATTTAAAAATTTTGTAACTAAATTTCTGCAACATATAACACAATTTCGTTATTTTCTATTTTTATTCTTTTTTCCTTTTCAATAACCACCAAAATTACCATTTTCGGATATTTCTAATTTATTTTTAAAAAAATTTCAAAGATTTTCTAAAAAAAATATTTTTTATTAAAATAAAATATAAAAATAAATTTTCAAAAGAATTTATTAATTCCAACAATTTATTTGACTGATTATTGGCCAACTTGTCTTTTACAAATGCAAATTAATATTTTATAATGAATAGAGATGAAATTAATTTTTGTCAACCAAAATTAAATGTCTGAAAATGACATAATAACGAATAAAATAGGAAATTTTTTTAATTTTTTTGTGTAAAGGATATTTATTTAAATAAATATAAATGCTTTTTTTTTAAATTATTTATCCTTAGTTTTGTTAATGTGAGGAGTTCCCCTTTAGATATCTTGCCGTTGTCTGGCTGTGATAAAACTTTAAAAATTAATTAATCAATTAAAAATATAAATTTATATCAAAAGTTTTTTTGGTCTTTAATTCATTTCAGTCTTGACAGATCCGACTGTTCCGACCTTTGTTTGTGTCTCTCGTCATTTATTCCATTTTTGATAAATAAATATTAACAATTATTAATAAATATAATTATTTTATAACAAATCGTTCGTTTTTCAGCACATTTATTTATTAATTAAATATCCACACCCTCCTCTTAATAATTCGTTAGAAATTATTTTACAAATTAAATAAACCATAAAGAGCCTTACAAATTAATTTATTTAAAGTAAAAATAATAAAATTGGTTAAATATTTTTGTCATTAAATCGTTAAAGAAAGTAACAATTAAATTCTTTTAAAAAATTATTATTATATATTAATAGTGCCCCAAAATTATACATAGCAACGTTGATTTTTCGAATAATTTGTTAACAATTCGACTTAACGTAGCACTTTAATCTTGAAATTAAGTAGTAGATTTCAAATAAGTAGATTTCATTTGATTTTAAAAATAAATTATTTACTTATTTATATTTTAATATTCAGTTATCTTTGGTAAATTTAAAATTAATGGCATTAACTTCTAAACAAAGTTTTTTGTTTATATTTTTATTTTCTTTTTGCTTTTTAACATCAATTAATTGTCTTCTCGGGACATACAACTTCAATCAACCTGTCCAATTTAATAGACTTTTTAAGTGGGATCCAATTGTGTGTATTAAATATTTTTTTATAAATAAATATTCTATTAGAAAATTATTTTAAAAAATTTTAAAGTGTGGAAAATTGGGCTCCATGATTTTTTGGAAATTTGGGCTCTCGCGGAATTTTGGCTTGAAAAAAACTGAAAATTGGGCTCTAAAATTTTAGTTGCAGTGAATTGTGGGTGCCGAAATGAATTTTTGGATTTAATTTTTATTGCTGTACAAGTTTTTACTAAATAAATACCAATTTTTCGGTTTCTCGCTCAGAGCCTGAAATTTCGCTGTAACCCAAATTTCAGAAAAGTTGGAGCCCAATTTTCCAAAAAATCTTTGAGCATAATTTTTCGGGACTCATTTTAAAATATTTTTAACCATTAAAAATTTTATTTTCTGCATCAAAAACATTTTCCGATTCAAAAACTTTAATTATTTTTAAATTTTAGCAACAATTAACAGCCAATAATTTGGTAAAAGATAATGGAGGTATTCCTTCCTCTTCTAATCAAAATCCAAAAAGAATTCAATTAACTGATGAAATGTTACAAAAAGAAGTTTTTAAAATTAATAAATTAATTAAAATTAATTAATTTAAGATACAAGAAATATTACCTAAAGTAATTAATACAAAACAAGAAAATATTGGTTTTTATGGAAAATAATATTTTAAATTGGCTAAAGAATATTAAATATATTTATAGAAAAAAGAAAATAAATCAAAGATTTTTTTAATTGTTTGAAATACCCCCCAATAAATAAATTAAAATAATTTTTATAAAATTATTTTGAAAGAATTCTTCCACAAATTGTACAATTTCTCGTTTTTAAAAGAAAAAATTGATTTTTATTTTGTATTTCAATTTCATCCAATTTTAGCCTTTCTTCCTTTCTTTTACACATCATTCTACCAGATATTGAACTGTGTGAATGTCCTTTAGGTCTGTCAATATATTCTGGATATCCACATCTGTCAAAATAAAAGCTTGAAGGATGACTTCCTCTTGTCATAAAATACATAATTGCACCTAAAGAGAATACATCTGCTGATTTATCGTAACGTTGGCCCTCAACTACTTCCCTTTTTTGAAAAAAATTTTTTTAATTAAATTTTTGAATGGCTCACGGTGCCATATAACAAGGTGTCCCGCATTGTGTTAAAAATGTAGAAGAGTCTGGAATGTCTTTTGAAATTCCAAAGTCAGCAATTTTCTTTAATTTATGTTTTAATTATATTTTTAATGATTATTAACCAATCTAATTTGAACACCAACACGGCCAATTAAAATATTTGCAGGTTTTAAATCTCTGTGCATTAATCCAATAGTATGTAATTTTTGAACACCTTTAACTAGTTGTGCCAAAAATGTACTTGCTTTTATTTAAAAAATAATTATTCATTTATATATTTAATATACCAGAATTTCTATCAATTCTTCCCACTCTTTTAACAAAAGCTTCTAAAGAACCCCCAGAACAATATTCCATAACTATACAAATAGCTCCATCAACACTTTGAAATATTTTATGGCATTGCACAAAATATTGTTCAAATTCTGGTCTATTCAATTGACGCATGATTTTTGCTTCCAAAGCTGCTGTGTCATTCTTAAAAAATATTTTTATGATAATTTGTTTATTTTAAATGTATAAATAAAGAATTATGTATTATATCCAAAAACTATGGAAATATTCCAAAATCAAAAAGAAATAATTAGCCAAAAATTGCTTTAAAAATTAGGGAAAGGTTAAAAATAATTAATAAAATAATTTGTATCAATCTAAATATACACATTCTTCCCCCTCCCTCCTCTAATATACTTTAATTAATTCCTCAATTTTAATTTATTTATAAAAAGGTTACTTATATTCCTCCAGTTTCTTTTTAAAAAATTTCGTTAAATAATTTTTAATTTTTTACCATAATTCTTTTAATAGCCACAAATTGCCCTTTAGAATTTTTACATTTATAAACAGTTCCAAAAGCTCCTTTTCCGAGTAAATTAACAAAAGTATAAATTTCACCATCAATTACCTTTTTTTAAAAAATATTATTTTTTATTTAAATTATAAAAATTTACTTCACTTGCAGGAATTCTCATTTTCTAAACTGATAAATGAGAAAGAAAAATATGTATTTTTGTGAATTATTTTAAACAATTAAAAAAACATTTACGACCTATTTTTTTATGAGAATCACCAAAAATTAAATATTTTATTTGGATATATTTTTAAATAAAATCAATTTATTTATTTATGTTCTTCCGCTAAATTCGGCTTAAGCTTTTATTTAGATGAGCGAAGAACAAGATTTGTGTTGAGGTGAGTAAATATAATCGAAGATGAAGGTCACATTGATTGACTATTATAGAAATTACTAAAGAAATTTTTTGAAAATTAAAAAAAGGAATTAAATAAGTAATGTGTGGTCAGATTAATAAAAAAAAATTCTTTAATTAATTGTAAAAATAAATTTAATTAAATTTATTTGTCAAAAATTTTCTGTCTTTATTTTAATTTAAAATTATAAGTATTTTACTTTCTTCTTGTACTACTAATAAATTGAAACCAGAATTTTAGAATTAAAATATTTTTTTGTTTTATCCATAGCCAAGTAATTTTGCAACAAAATATTTTAAATTAATTAATTGACAAGCTGGTAAATATAATTTATCATCCGAAAAATGATTGACACACATAATTAATTTTTTTTTAAATTGACAAATCATTTGTTTAATTGACAAATCATTTTTTCTAAATTATTCCATTAATTAATTAATTATGTAAGAAGAACATATTAAATAAAGTTTTTAAAGAAAAAAAAGATTTTATCTAAATATATTACCTAATTAAGTAATTAGAGTTTATTTATATATTTCTTCTTTTTAAATTTACATTAAATTTAAAAATAAAAAATGCTAATTAAAAAAAGATTATTTAAAAATACTTGCCATTTATATATTATTTATTTTCTTATTTTGTTAATTTATTTTAGACAAATACCTATAAAGAGAAAAAATAAAACACATATTTTTGTTACTAATTTATTTTATTATGAACAAATTAAATTGTTTGTTTTTTTTATTATTTTTAATTATAAAAATTTAAATTAAATTTTCATTAATTAATTAAATAATAACAATCGACTAAAAAAGGAAGCCCTATAAAATTCTTTAGAGTTCTCTTTAATTTCAATATTTCTATATTAATTAATTAATTTAATTTTATATTAGCTTTGAAAAGAAATTACCAAATACAATGGTTATGCTATTTAATGTTGAAAGAGATGTAAATATCGAAAATCTGAGAAAAGGTTCAGCTTGTCTAGTTTATTCTAATTATGGATGGCCTATTTGGCGCAAAGCTTATATTGAACCTATAATTGGCCATCGTCCAGAATTTGAGTGTAAATTATCTGTTTATCGTTTAGCCTGTCACAATATGGAATTAAATCCCTATTCTCGTCTTAGTCAACAATCTGTAGAAATTAAAATATCGAGACATTCAAAACCTTTTCAGGTTGGATTTAAAATAAATATTTATTTAATTCTTTAAACGGAGATTAAATCAAAAAAAATTTAAAGAATTATTTCATAAATTTTTAAAGGTTCAATTAAAATGGGCAGACAGAATTCACAGAAAATTTGTTGTTTGCCCAAGTCGTTTATTTGCTTTTGATCAATGGCATTTATTTATAACAGCAATGGAAATATATAGAGCACATAAAGTAGATTTAGTACAGATATATATTCAAAGTGTAGATCCGCAAATATTTAAATTAATTAAAGTTTATGAAAAAAATGGAATATTACAAATTAGACCTGCACTCGAGGTGATTTTTTTAATAAGAAATATTTGGGGAAAAATTTTCCTGAAAAAAACTGGCAGATATATTACTTGGACTAAATCCTTTTCTCATTTTTTTAATTATTTTTATGTCTAGAAATTATAAAATATTCAAAAAAAATTTTAGATGCCAATTATCGATTCATTGGATTTCAATCCAAATTCTGAAACTTCATGGCAAAATCAACTTGTTAATTTCCAAGATTGTCTTTATGAATACAGAGAAAGTGCAGATTTCATTGCTTTTCCTGATTGGGACGATTTTATGTTTACCCGTAGTTATTCAATTCCCTATAGTTCTGTACTTAATAAATTAGCTTATAAACATCCAAAATATGTTGGTTTTATTGTTGATAGATATTTAGGTGTTCATGAATCGCTCGGTAATTTTTATTTAAAAAAATAATTTAAAAAATAGTTTAGAAGAAATGACTAAAAAAGAGCATAATATTGTTGATTTTTGGCATATTGGAATTCAATATAGTAAAAGACATAAACAATTTTATTATGGAAAAGCTATTTATATACCAAATAATGGGTTATTTGGTGTTGATTTACATTGGGCAAATAGAGTTGAGGCTGATGATTATCAACAAATTAGAGTGCCAATGGAGGATATGTATATAATACATGCTAGAGATTATTCTGTTTGTTTTAATTTATTTAAATGGGTAATAAAAATAAAATAATTTTGAATAAAATCGAGAAATACCTAAAAATCTTTTACTATTTCTACCAAATAATGGGTTGCTCAAAATCCAAGTCTAATTAAACAGAATTTAAATTTATTTTAAAATTTTTTTAAGAAATTCCCAATGAATGGCTATATTCATAATGTTGACTATTTAGAAAAGAATTTTAACAAATTTGTAGAGGAATATAATTTAACAGAAATTCTTTCCAATTTACCAAAAAAAGAAGAATTAGTTCAACAATTTAATGAATGTTTAGGTTTTGATTCACAAAATATGAAAGAAATATTAAAAAATATAAAAAGTAAATGTTGGAATTATCATCATTGTGGAATTACAGAAGTTCGGAGTAATTGTACAAATGTTAAAAATCAATGGGAAAAAATATTTATGTCTGGAGATGAACTTAATGTGTATATGTTAATTAATAGTGAATTTTTAAAAGAAAGTATTTGTAGTTATTAAAATTATTTCTTTTTATATGACGTGAATTAAAAATAATTCTTTTTATTAAAGTTAGATGTTTGATTTCTGATGTTTTTATTGTAAAACAAAACTAATTATCCTCAATTTATTAAATAAGTTTCTTACGAGGGTATTTTTTATAATAATAAAAACATTTGTTCAATAAAAGTTATTGTCTATTTCTACATTTATTTAAAACTACATAAATATGTATAATCATTAAAATTTTCCCAATTTGTCTGAAGGTTTTATTCAAATAATATTTCCTTTATTAAATTTTTATCTACTGATTCAATTTTGATTTCATCTCAGCCTGAAATTTAAAATATTGATTTAAATTTCAATTTTTTAATTATTTAATTAGTAAATTTCAAAAAAAAGATAGCTATATAATTTAATACCCAAAAACAATTTCATTATTAATTACCTCTGCAAATCCCTGTTTCATCCATCCAATTACTGCTTGCATTAATTTTTGCCAAACAAAAAATGCTTTAAATTTAAATTATTTTTATTTAAAGAAAATGTTTCCCCCTTTTTTTACTTTTTTCTTTTTCCAAATTATTTACTTTAATTATTGTCTCAATAACCGAATTTTCTAAACAAATCCAATTTTCTGCTTGAAACCAAACTTTCATTCGAAAATGCATTTTTCCATTATCTCTACATATTTCAGCTAATTTATCTTCTATTTCTTCAATATTTATTTCTTTTTGATTTAATAATAATGACAACTTTAATTAATTTTAAATTAAAAAATAAATATAAACTTACTCCTTTAAAAAATTTAGTAACTCCATTAGCTATTTCTATAGATCTTGGACTATATTTTAATAAACTTTGTTTATCTAAAATATTTTTAATTCCTTTTTCATGTGGAGAATTTTGTTCCAATAAATTTTTAAATAAAGAACTTTAAAAAAATAGGGAAAATTAAAGGTTTAATAAAAGATTTTTTAATTTAAACCGTTTATCATTAAGTAAACTAATTACGATCTCATTTCCAATGTCTACTTGATTTAGTGTTCTAAAATTATATTTATAAATTATTTAAAATATTTATTTAAAATTATTTTCTCTAATTAATTAAAAGCTGGCAAATAATTAATAAAAATTATTTTCAACTTAATATTTTGTAGAAATTTCTAAAAATTAATTCAACTATAACAATAATTAATTTAAAATAAAAAATAGCGATACTTCCTTGTTAACTGTCGCCACTTTTTTTTATAAAGAATAAACAATTGTTAAATGAAAATAATTTGAAAGAGATCTTCAATTTTAAGTGAATGAAATTCATAACAAAATTATAATCCACTGAAACTTCGATGGAAAAACTAGTTTCGTGTTGCTACAGACAAGTCTGCGCTTCTTACGTAAAAATCATTCATACGTAAAGTTTTTTACGTAAAAAATTACGTAAAAATCGTTTGGGTTATAACAAAAAATATATAAAAATATATGTATTAGATATACTCTCAAAGTCCTTTCGAATCACACCTCAATTGTTGAGATTGGCTCAAAAGGTTTGAAAAGTGGACACATAACAGAGAAGTACCTACATACATATAACCATTACTTGTTAAGTGTCTCTGAAATAATCCTCAACTCTTCCAAATTTAAATTTTTTTGTTTTTGGCTAAAATTTGTGTTAGTAAATAAATTTCTTTTGATAATAAATTTGTCAAATAAAATCCCATTTGTCAGTTTTTGATTTAAAAAAATTGGGCAGAATTTATATTTTGGTATTTTTCCAAAGATGTAGCTTTGTCTACAAATTTAAAAATATATTTTAAAGATTGTATTTTTAAATATTACCGTGTCAAAGCAACTTTAGATAAATAATTTGTATAACGCATTTTTCTTTAAAAATTATTTTTATACATTAAAAATGTTTTTGAGAAATGATTGAAAAATTTTCTTTTATTTTATGTTATTTAAATAAATGTAATAATCTAATTAAATAAAAAATAAATTAATGGAAATGATTTTAGGCGGAAAAATTTTTAAATAGGAATTTTACATTAAAAGTACTTTTATTATATTAAATAAGGAACCCTGAACGTTCGGAGCGTGTATGTATGTCCGGTGTACCTGGTTTATAATTTGTTCAAGTCGGGGTAACGGGGTTTAATTAGGAAAAAATTTTTAAAAAATGGTAAGAATGGAGAAATTTTTCGGGTATGTTATAGTGATGTTCGGGAGAAGAAAAAACTCGGGAATCGGGAAACGGGAGTCGGGTCGGGAAATGACCTCGGGAGTCGGGATCGGGATTCGGGATACCCGAACATCACTAGTATGTTATGGTAATTGTAGTAATACACAAATAAATAAATAATAATTACTTAAACGGGGGCAGGGTCTGGAGTATTGGATTGGGGTATAATTGTAATATAATTTTATTTAATTACATATTTGTAGACAAAAGGGCGAATTACCTAGCTAATTAAATAAAACTTCAGAGATTAACATCAGAATACAAATTTTTAAATTGGGAATATGTAAACAAATATGTATGTGTATAAAAATCGACGTCTTTATTGACGTTTAAGTTGAAAATCCCTATCTCCCCTCTCTCTCCAACCCTCTCTTTTTCCCGCTTATTAATTTGAATAAAAAAATCTATTTATCAATTTTTTATTTTAAATTTATTTTACAAAAATTTAAATTTTAAACATAAAAAATAATTATAAAATTAATTACAAACAATAAAATTAAAGAGAATAATCATTTTATGAGTAATATTTTTATTCAAATAACTTTTCTTTTTCTATTGCTTGTTATGCCAGGTATTAAAACTTAAAAATTATTATTTTTTAATTAAATACTAAAAAATAGAAATAACAAAAAGTGGTTGTAAATCAAGTAAAGATTCAGAAGTGATTACTCCAAATATTAATGTCTCTAGAACAACAGATGCTTCTTCTTCTTCCTCATACCCAAATTTAGGAGGTATTTAAATATTTAATTAATTAATTAATCTTTAAATATTAAAATTTAAGTATTAATTCTTAAATTAATTTAAAAAATTTATATTTTAATAATATTTTACATATAAAGAACGAATTACTTGTTCTTGCGGACAAACATTTTACGAATGGGAGGAAGTACGAATTGGTGAAATTAACTTGATTAAGAATACAATTAAAATATTTCATGGAGCAACAGGACAGGTAATTCTAATATACTCTCTAATTATCTTCTTATATTTGGGACTACTAAATAGTTTTTATGATGCCAAATTCTGAATTTAAATAAATTTAAAAAATATATTATTTAAATATTTTTATTTATTTAGATTTTCCATGCTTATTCTCAACAAACAAATAAATGTTTAATTATAAAAGAAATTTTTTTAGAAGTGGAAGATGATCGAGAAAGGACAAGACAAGAATGGATGGCAAATAATGAATTAAATATATTATTATATTTTAAAACAAGAAATTTAAATGAAAGAATTGTTGAAATTATTGATTAGTAAATAATAATAATAATTTTTTAATAATTTTTAATTATTATTTAGTGGTAATTTATATGAAGATAGAGGAAAATGTTTTGTAATGGAACAGGGGAATGAAACTTTGTTTAGGTATATGAATGATGTAAAAGATAGATTTTCTACAATTAATATATCACCAAATGGTACTAGTAGAAGAATATATAGAGGTAGTTATTTATGAAAATAAAGTATATACTCTATTAATTACCCTCCCTCAAATAATTACCCTGCCTCTATTAATTACCCCTCCAGCGAGAGGTTTAAACAATTATTACTCAGGATAATTAATAGAGTATTTATTAATCCCTTTTCCCTTCGAATAATTACATTTTTTAAAAATAATAAATGCTTTGGGTAATTAATTGAGTAAATAAAATTATATGTAAACTAAAATTTATTAAAAAATTTAATTTTATTAGAAAAGAAAAGATTTGGAAGAATAATATTGCAAATAATGTTGGAAGTGGCAAAAGCAATACATGAATTTCATAAATGTGTTTATTTATTATTAATAAAAGGAATTTTAAGTTTTCATTTAAAGATGTGTTTTTGTAATAATAATTCTTCTAAAATTTTTCTCCCAAAATTCAAATTACATATACCTAATAATGTTTAAATTAACTTTTGGTTGAACTGAGGAATTTTAAAAAATAATAAAAATTTAATAATTCTTAATTTATTTTAAATCTGAAAATAATTTTTCTTTAATTTTATAGATGCAATACATTTAGATATTAAATCTACAAATTTTATTTGTTTCCGAAAAGGAAATAAAAGATGTTTTGTTAAATTAATAGACTTTAATTCTTCTGTTCTTTTAAATGGCCAAAATGAGGTTGAAGCTTTTAGTTATGGAGCATGTAATTATAAAAGTTATGAAATTCGTGGCAGAGAGGATATGGATATTGATCAAACATTTATGGTAAATTATATACTAGAACTGAGAAATCCGACAATTTTCCAAAATATTAACTTTTCTCCTAATATTAATTAAAAAATAAATTATACTATTTCCTGACGAAAAAATACTTTTCTTATCATTAATTAAATTTTAACAAAATCATAGCACGTAAATACATAGAAAGGATTTTATTAACTACCATAGATCCTCTACTATCCATATTAATTTTAAATATAATTAAATTCAAAATATTTTTATAGGTTACAACAAAATCTGACATCATGTCATTTGGTTTAATGTTTTATTTTTTCCTTCATTTTGAAATTGAATTTAATGAATTAAATATATCAGAATCTTACAATATAATTGATCAAAATTTAATTAATTTCCATCAAAGTATTACTAAAAGTAGCAATTATTTAGACAGAGTTATTAAGGTATTTTATTAGAATCTTTTTTAGAAATTCATTCGGTTTCACACTTATTTGTTAGTGTGGTTGTTCCAATAATTGAAAAAATTTAAAAAATAACCAAATCATGTAATAAAAAATATAATAGAGTTTTATGCCCAAAACCACTCTCTCGTACCTGATATTAATGGATAGTGTTGTCATTAATCTTTTCCATTCTCCCGAGAATAACCAGATTAGTTCTCACATTTATCGGAATTAATCATTTCACATTTATCTAATCTTCAAAACAGAAAGGAGTAAATTTATTTTTATTATTTTAATTTAAAGGCTTGCACTCATTATGAACCAACAGAACGTCCGTCAGCATGGGCAATAATTAATTTTATTGAGAACAGATGTCACGTATTTGCTAGCGAAGAACAAGAAGAATATGAAATTATTTGCGAAGAATTAGAAAATTAAATAGTATTTTTAGGTCAAACCCATATAGAAACAACATACCTATATATCCCTTTATACCGGTGAACCCGACCAATATATCTATAACACTATATAAAGAACACAAAAATTTTTCTTTGTACTGTGAGGTCCCGCTATCACAATCTATATCACCTTTTTGATTTGCTAAAATGCGGATTACTTCCACAGGGGTTGTTCACGCACTTTTTATTAAAATTACTTTATTACCAACAAGGGAACATAGTTTACTAACAGAGCGAATTCGATATATTCCTTAATACCATTCGATAGAAGATCGAATGGTATCAAAAAATACATCGAATTCGCACTGACAGTAAACGATGTTCCCTTTTAAGTAGTATGAAACAAAAGGTTTATGTCCCACAATTTTTTAGAAAAAATCCCGCATGCGCGAATCCTGCCCACAAGTGGAATGTGGGATTGATGACTACTGGTGGTTCATTTTGAAATTCGAAGAGACGAATAAATGATCCTGATTCGAGATCTAGATATTCCAATTAAAAGATATTAAAAACCGAAAGGACAAAAAACGTAAAAGGAACGGTATATTTGAAAAATATGTGCAAAAAATATAAATCAACATTGAACGAGTGTACTTTTAAAATATCAAGAAGAATCAAAAATATTCTTAATCTTCTCATACCAAAATTAATTTGCAACTCATTAAATCAGTTCACTCACATTCATCGGCATTTCATCGATCTGCAAAATTTTCATTTTTAAAGTTAACATTTTTCTAAATTAAACCTGTGTAGAATAATATTGTTCAATATCGCGAAGAATACGAATATCATCGTTTTTGACAAAGTTGATAGCAACACCCTTGCGCCCATAACGCCCCGAACGTCCAATTCGATGAATATACAATTCACGATTGTTTGGAAGATCGTAGTTGATAACAAGCGAGACCTGCGGAACGTCCAACCCACGAGCCCAAACATCTGTGCTGATCAAAACTCGGCTAAAATAAAAAAAGGAAGATTGGAGCTATTTCTGTAACTTTTATGAAGAAATCTAATATTTGTCAGAGGGAATACACAACCCAAAATATCAAAAAATTTAATCAAACCTTTCCCCAGCTCGAAACTGTTTCATGATTGCATCACGGTCTTTTTGTTCCATATCTGCATGCATACAACAAACAGTAAAGTTGGCTTCCCGCATCTTATCTGCTAACCAGTCAACCTAATAAAAAATGTATCAGTTAGATTAAGCATTTAAAACCTTTCGTCGTGTATTGCAAAATATAACTGCTTGTGTAATTGTTAGAGTGTCGTACAAATCGCAGAGTGTATCAAATTTCCATTCTTCTCGTTCGACAGCTACAAAAAACTGTTTAATTCCTTCAAGAGTTAACTCGTCACTAAAAATTAAAACTTTTAATTTCAAATTAAAATTATTAAAAAACCGTTTGACAAGAACACGGATCGGATCTGTCATAAACTTGCTTGTCATTTCAAGAACATCGTGAGGTAAAGTTGCACTGAGAAGAACAACCTTGAAATCGATAAATAAATATTCAAATAAACAAATTAAATACCTGCGCGTTAGGAGGCAAATAACGATAAATATCATAAATTTGCTCCTTAAAACCTTTACTAAGCATTTCATCGGCCTCGTCCAAAACCAACATTTTTATTGAACGCGTGCGCAGATTACGACGCCGAATCATATCTTTAGAAAATTAAAAAAAAATAAAATTTATTTTTTAAGATTATTTAACGGCAACTATTTATTTAAAATAACTCAAAACACGAACCAAAAACACGTCCTGGTGTTCCAGAAACGACGTGCTGTCCATAATCCAATTTGCGAATGTCTTCTCCAACATTAGTGCCACCAATGCAAGCATGGCATTGAACATTCATATAATCACCAAGCGCAAGAATGACCTAGAGTCGTGTTATAATCAAATGAGCGCGAGGAAAAATACCTTTTGAACTTGAACTGCCAGTTCACGAGTTGGTGCCAAAACAAGAGCTTGCGTTTCACGAGCCACAACATCCAAAGATTGAAGTACGCCAATAGAAAATGTTGCCGTTTTCCCTGTGCCAGATTGTGCTTGTGCGATTACATCACGACCCTATAGAAATTAATTATGAATGGAAAATTAAAAAAACCTTAACAATCTGCATGATTGCGCGCTGTTGAATTGCTGAAGGCTTTTCAAAGCCATAAGAGAAAATTCCTCGAAGAAGATCACTAAATACAGCCTATATATTACGCTACTAAATATTAAAACCTCTTTAAGCCCATTTTATCAAAAGATTGCAAAACTTCAACTTCTTCACTCGTCTCAAACTCGACATTTGACAAATCTTCCATTTCAATCCGTCGTTTGCGATTTGCCATCTGGCTTTCCGCATCAAATGTAGTATCCATTGTTCGTTGTTTTTACTTTAATCTAAAAGAAAATACCAATTACTGAAGACAAATAAAAAAATAAAGCTAAATTCTAAAACTGGCATTTCCGTGACGTAAGGAAAGGACCTATATTTTGCCAATTCCATATTATGCCAATAGGCTAAAATCCACATTTTGCCAATTCCATATTTTGGGTTTCCGGTCCAAATTCTAAAAACGGTTATCGACTCTGTATTTTAGTTAAATATCGGTTTATTTGGATTTATAAATATAAATTCAACAGGAGTACTGGATTTTTTAGTGTATTTTTAAAGATCATTTGATCGTTACATTGGTTCTTTATTAATTATCATTACAGTACTATAAAAGGCAGCAAAATAAAAAGTGACTTTTTATTTTGCTTTAATTTGTCACTTTTTACATTAATTAACCATCATCTGTAAAAACTCACGCCTGGCTCGTCTATTCTAGTTTCTTATCGTAATTCCCCCACAAGGTAATACAATTTGTCACTTTTTATTTTGCTTTAAATGTTTTCCTTTTAGTTAGCTTCAAACAAGGATGCTGTTCGTCTGTTGCCCTGTCCCGGTGTTAGCGATTTTGTGCATGCCAGTAAAGTGATCACATCTGGTGGAGAGGGAGGTTACTACATCATCGCCCAAACACCGCTTGTCAATCCATCAAAGCCTCGTATCGATAATTGGTAGATGAAGGACTTTAATATATATGCAAGCTTTCTCTTTTTACTTTAGGCTGCGCATGTTGTGGGAGTTCAATGTGTACGTTGCTGTTTGTCTCGTCAACCTTGATCACGAAAGCGAATGCGACTACTACTTCAACAGGAGCAGAGGCGAGTCATATAAAGTGAGGATAAATTTAATTATTCTAAATAATTTTTGCGGGGTTTGTTCTTTAACAAAATTTTATTTTTAAAGGTCAACAACTTCGAAATCACAACCTTGGATGTAAGCACAGATGGGACTCTCGAGCTGGGACTTATGTAGCTGCTTCTATTGTTGGCCGTCGTATGTCTGCAAAAGTCTGAGAAGTACTTGTTACGATATTCTGAATCGCCGTTCGCAGTTTCCTCTTCTCCTTGAAACTATTCTTGAGCTGGCTGTCCACAGTGGGATTGTAAATGAAAAGGATGTTAGTCGTGCCCGTGATGTTCTCCGACGGTGAATTTTTTTCGTTTTACATTATGATTGCAAAAAGCTTTCGTTTTTAGTGTCCGTGATGAGATTGGCAAGACACAAGCAAAAGGCAGACCATCACGGTAAGAATTGAGATTTATTTATAAAGCAATCTTTGAATTTTTAGTAGCCGTGGCTGAGCTTCTGTGAGCATCCATAACACGGTAGGACGATACTTGTGCAAAGAACTAATATAAAATTAATCTAATATCATATTGTAATTATTTGTTTTCTGTGTGTGATTCATAATTGGTATTTTTATGTTGTGATAAATTGATATATAAATACTTTTCTAAATTTATTTCACAAAATATTAATTTGAAAAGTCCTTTTTTTAAATTAAGGACTTTTTCAAAGAGAAAAATAATTAAACTTGTTTCCATGGAAACGAGGGAATAAAATCTAGAATAACAAATTCAGAGATTGAAGTCAGTACATAAATTATTATTTATCCATTTTATTAGCAAATTTTAAACAAATTCAAATTTTACTTTAATTATCTAGACGTTCACAAATAAATTTAAATAATATTCTAAATGCCTTTACGTGCACAAATTGAACGTTGGAGTCGAAATGAATTAGAAGAACATTTTCATAAAGTTTCTGATGAAGTTAGAGCATTAAAACAAAATAATCAAAAAATGCAAAAAGAAATAAAAATGTTTATTTAATTTAAATAAGTAATTAGTTGTTAATTTAAGTATAAATGGAAGAATAAATGCTGGAGTTGGAATAGAAAGAGCACAAATAAAACAAAATAATAATGAATATGAGGGATTAGAACGATCAAATAAAGTTTTATCACAAAAGGTTATCTATGGAAGTAAATTTAAAATTAAAAATTAATTTCACAGTTAAAAGTACTCAAACATCAATTACTTAATTATTCAACTACAACCCCTTATCAAAACAAAACACATCCAAATATATTAGGGAGTAGTAGACCATCTACAGCCCAATTACCTTTAAATACAAAACAAAAAACTCAACAAAGAAAAACAAATTTTGGAAGACAAAGACCAAAAAGTTCAACAATTGAAAGTCAAAAAAATCAGAATTCCGAAATCTTTAATGATGATAAATTGATAAAAAATGAAGATAATACAATTGAAATGATAGATAATAACTCTGTTTTGCCAACAAAAATTTGTAAAATTAAATTAGATAATTTGTGTCAAAAATTAAAAAAAATAAAAGCGTCAGAAAAAAATTTGGAAACATTCCAAATGTATTAAATTTAATTTTGATAACCTGGAATTAACAAGGAATTAATTAACAAGAATTAACAAGGTTGCGAGGTGTCCAACCTAAAAACGGTCGAGACCGGGCTCATTCGATAGAGAATGTGCCCTTTCTAGCAAGGATTTTGTGCCATTTTTTGATCTGATCTTGACTGTTTTTAGGTCTGACACCTAGTAACCTTTCCTTGTACGAATTTAAAATGAAATTGTGTTTTGTAAAATTATCTCTTATTAGATAATTCATAAAAATATTTTTTTGAAATTATTTTTATAAAACAGATGAAGAATGGAAAACAGAAAAACCAATTGTTCAGAAAAGAAATGAATTTAAAAATAATCAAGTGGATCTTCAAAATTTTGAGTAAATATTTAAATTTAAAAATTAATTTTTCTTAAAAAAATTCCTTAAAAGTGTATCAGATGAATGGGATAAAAATAATCGTTTAAGAGAAATTACAAAACAAAATCGAACAATTATTGCTGAAAATGAAGATCTTCGTTTCAGTTTAGAAAAAAGTGAAAAAGTAATTTTAATTAATTTAAAATTCTCTAAATATTTAATTAATTAAAAAAAGAAACTTTCAACTCTAAGTAAAGAATATGATAAATTAGCTATAGAATTAACTAATGCTAGAAGTGGTTATCAATCACAAACAGAATCACTTTCCTCTTTTAGAGAAGAAATTCAGAGAAAAGCTGAAAATTCTTCAAAAAATGCCCAAATTTCTGATCGGGAATTAAATATTTTAAGAGAAGAATATCGAACAATTAAATCTGCTTATGATAAAATTATTGCTCGGTAAATTAAAGATTCATTTCTTTATAACAATTTTTAGTTCTTTACAAGAAGAAAATAATGGAAAGAAAACATTAGATGAATTATCTCGTTTACGTTCAGAATTGCAACAAATTAATTCTGATAGTGAAAGTGAAAGAAACCAATTTAAACAAAAAATAAATAAATTAAAATTACAAAATGAACAATTAGAAAAAGAATTAATAGAAAAAGAAAAAAATTATTTTGATAATAATAATAAAATAAAAAATAATTATTTAATTGAAAATGAAAAGAAACAAATGGAAAAACAAAATAATAATATTAATGATAATGATGATGAAGAAGAGAAGGAGGAGGTTATTTTTAAGGATATGTAGTTAAATTAAAAATAGATGTATTTTAATAAGAGGACTTTAAATAATGTTGCAACTAATTTATAAAGTTAATCATTATATTACTTGATTGGTAATTAGAGGGGTTATTAAGGGAGTATTTACAATAATTATAAATAACCATGAATTACTTGAAATTAAGTACTACATATAAATAAAATTTTTTTGTTATTAATAAATAACAAAAAAAAGCATTTTACATATTAATTTTTAACTTAAGAATGCCAATAAATTAACAACAAAAAAGCCAACAACAACAACAAACAAAGAAAATACATTACTAGATAAATTATTTTCTGATGTTTTGAGTATTGTTGAAAAAGATGTAAAATTAATTGGAAATAAAAATAAAATAATTAATAATGTTAACGAAAATGAAATTAATGAAATAAATAATTTTAGGTAGATTTTAAATTAAAAAAAAATATTGTTTTTTAAATTTAAGATGGCAAAAAATGTATGAAGATGTTTATGAGGAATTGGAAAAAGTTCGACAAATTTTACTTGCCGAGCATGAATTAAATAATCGTTTACGAGAAGAGGTTTGAAAGGAATTTTTAAAGGGAATATTTTAAATAAATAAATATTTATATATTTTAATCCACAAAATTAAAAAAAAATTGAGAGAATTAAATATTTATTTTATAAAATACCACCCAAAAATAATTTGTTAAATGTTAATCAAAATTTATAATTTTCTACTTAACCTCACATTTTCCTTATATTTTAACAAAAAAATTTCCCTAAAAATAATTTAGTTAAACCAAAAGAAAATAGAAAATGAAGATTTACAAGCAAAATATGAAAATAAATTAAAAGAATTAGAATCAGAATTAAATAAGAGAAATATTCAAACAAATGGAATTGAAAGAGCTTTACAGTCAATTGCTAATGGAAATCAAATATTAAATAATAATTTAATTTTTGTAAATAATTTATTTAAAAAAATTTTTAAAAGAATTATTTTTAATTTAGAAAAATATTGAAAATAATAAAAATAATCTTCAACAAATTGAAGTTTTTTTAAATTATTTTATTTTTCTTAATTTTATTTTTTTCAAGTCAACAGAACTTTCTCTTACTTTCTCCAAATTAATTTTAACAGAAAATTGTTTGAAATTTGCAGAAAGTCAAAATCCAGCTGTTTTTGTTGCCATTGGTTTGTAAAATACATAATAAAATCTCTAGTATTTTATTTTGAGTAAAGTAATTACATAATTACTAGCAGTTTTTCTTTATAATAATTAGCCTGAGAATGTCTCAATAAAAATAATTTTGAATTTAAAGATTTGTTTTTAGATTATGAAAAACAAATTGGTTAATAACCAATTATTAATTACTTTACTCAAAATAAAATAGAGATTCTATTATGTATTTTAAACTAACAATTAATTTTTAATTTATAGAATTTTTCGATTTTGAATTACAAACAAGCCAACTTGTGAACGGGCCAGAGTAATTAAAATTAATTAAAATATTAATTTAATATTTATTTTTTAGAGCTAATTTAAATTTTACAAGTATTTTTGAATTAACAATCTCCGATTTATTTATTCATTATTTACAAACAGTTAAATTAATTAATTTAAATAAATTAAATATTTATTTATTTTATAGGAAGGAATGAATATAGAATTATATATTGTACAAAATGAAATAAATTATAAACTTTGTTCGCAAGCAACAATTCCACTTAAAAAATTACTTTCAATTAAAACACAAACAAATTTTAGGTAAATTAAATTATAAAGTTTAATTTTATTTAAAAATTATTTAAAATATAATAATTACCCTTTTTATTAAAATAATTTGTCTTTAAAATCTGACAGGTATACCTTTCTATCTAAATAAAATCTTTTATTTTTTTCAAATCTCAATCATTCATTGTCTATATATATCAATTCTATTATAAAATATTTTATTTAAATCTAAATATATATTTTTTAAAACAAATTTTTGTAATTATTTATTAAATGTTTGTTCGAGCATTTAAACTCAATATTTGTCTTTCACTTCTTTTTGGCTCTTTTTCAGCCATTTTGCTGTTAATTAGTTGTTTCTCTTGATCGTTTGTGTCACGTTTCCAATATCCATAAGGATACCAATAGTTATACCAATACTTAAAAATGAGACATAAAATTTTTAAATAATTATTTGGATTGAAAAAGTATTTAGGAAATATATAAAAATTAATTTTGTGACTTTTAAATAAATATACTTTCTCATAAAACAATAATAATCCCCAAAATTCTTGTACTTTAATTAATTATAAAAATTTACTTGGGCATCAATCTGATAAATAATTAAAGAAGCAATTAAGCAAATAAAAATTATTTTGTTCATTTTTAGAAAATAAAATTATTTTTTTAATTATTTTGAGAAAATTTCTTCACTTTTATATGAAAATAACACACACAAATTTCTAATTAAGGAATTTATAATTGTTATTAACATTCCAATCCTTTTATAATTTTAAACAATTTATTTATATTTACTTTCTATTTATTTTAAATTAAAAACAAACAAATTAGGCGAATTAAATGTAAATATTTACAATTTTGGAGATAATTTTTAAATTTTATAAGTGAAAACATAATTAAAAATATTTAAAGAAATAAGTTATATTTATTTAACTTTTTTTAAATGGAAATAAAATTGTAGGTAAATAAATAATTTAACAAGGTTCATGATTAAAACTTTAAATAAATCACATTACCCATAATTAGTCTGTTTATGTTATTGGTAATGAAAACACTTTTCTTTTCTTCTCCTATCACGACTATTAGCAGTAGTTAACGAGGGTCTTAATCTTGTAGATATATTTAAAAAAGACGAAAAATATTACAAAAACTTTAAAAAATTAATTGGATATATAAATTACTTTTACAGAGGTGAAATAAACTTTTTTGCTTCTAATGAAGATGATTCTCAAAAAGGATCAACTAAATCATCTATACTTTTAGCAAAACTTTCTTATAATGTAAAAGTTCCATTTTCTTTACTTCACGCATTAAATGCACAAAGGAGAAGAATGGCTGCTGCTGCATTTATTCCATTGATAAATAATGATGAAAATAAAGATTTTAATGAAGAAATTGAATCAAATAATCTTGTAATACAAATTCATCGGTGTCATAATTTGGATAAACTTAAAGGAGGAGAAAAAGGTGAAAGGAATGAAAAAATATATTTTTGTTTAAAATTAAGTTTTGGGAAATTTGGGATTCCTAAGGAACGGTGAAGTTTTAAAGCTTTTATTTCGCACATTCCACCGAGAATTTCACTCTAATTCCTCGTAAAACTATCGTTCTTTTAAATTAAATTTCAAAATTCTTTCTAAAATATATACCAAGAACAATTATTCAAATATTAGGTGATAAAACAAGGCAATCAACAGATGTAATGCCAAGTACATACATCACCTATGAATTTTTTACTTTCCCTATACATCTATCTAAAGTAGTCAAAAATAAAGCTAATCCAATATTTGATGAAATACAAACATGGAAATTACCAATAAATAGTGAAGCTATTCACAAATATTTAATTAACGAGGTTTATTTGTAATTATAAATTATTTAACAAATTTAAAAATTAAAGGATTTAATTATTTATGTATTTGAAGAAAATTCTGAAAATATTATTTCTTCTTCTGCTACTACCTCCCGTTCTCTTGGTTATATTTCAATTCCTTTATTTCCTTTAGCACGAAATCAAAAAATCAGAGGAACTTTTCCGTTAACAGATAGAGTTTGAATAAATTAAAATTTAACAAAAAAAATATTTTTAAAATATTATAGGCAGATGAAACAATTACTTCGGGTGCTTCTATTGATATTTCTATATTTTGGCAATTTGCTTATGTTTTTGATGATACTAAATTAGTGTCAAATACTGTAAATTAATATTAAAATATTTTGAGAAAATAAATAAATTTTAAAGTAATTTTAACAAAATCCATAATTTTTTAGCAATTAGTTGGTCGAAATGAAAATGTAAAAGAAAAAATTTTACCTGAAGTAGCAATAAAAGCAAGCAATAACATGCAAATTATCGATGAAACTAATGAGTAAGCATATGAATAATATAGGCGATTTTCATACTTCCACAAATTTATTTGTTAAAACAAAATATTTTTTTTATTTTCAGATTGAAAGAAATAAAAGAAAATAATCATGAAAATGATTTAATTAAAGATGATAATGATGATATTATTAGCTCTGATGAGGACGAACAAAAAGGGGAAATTGAGGAGTTGGAATTAAGAAAACGTCTTTTTTCTAATAAAATAATACCAGAAATTATTAATAATAAAGATGAACAAAAAATAGATTCTGATATTGAAATAAAAGAAAATAATGAAGGAAATAAAGATTCAGAATCAATTAATTTACTTAAAGAAGAATTAAACGCTTTAAATGAAGAAAATCCTTCCTCAGAAAGCATGTATAAATTATTTTTTTATTTATTTATAAATAAAAATACTTTTTTACAGTAAAATATCTGAACCAGAAAATATTCAATCACCAAAATCTTCTAATAATTCTTTTGAAGAAAATTTAATAATAAAAGAAGATGGAAAGGAGGAAAAAGAAGAATCTGATGATAATGTTTCTTTACGTTCAGATACTACATACACCATGGAATCGGCAAATCAACATTTAGATGTTAACGAAGAACAAATAAATGAGGAATTAAACGATAAAAAAGAATTATTAAAAGAGAATATTTCTGAAGAATCTCTTTTGGGTGTATTACCTCCAATTCCAGCACAGAGAAAGGTAAATGTGTTTAATATTGGAACTAGAATGAAAAGATCTCTCTAAATTGAGAGAATCTAAATAATCTTTAAATTATATTTTCCAGTCTAAAATTGCTGAACCTACAAAAGAAAATACTACTTTAACACTAAATGATTCTCCAAATGAATTAGCGGTTCGAAGAGCTGTTGAATTTAGCGACCCTTTACATTCTTCAATTCCTCGTATATTTTAATTTAATTATTATATATTTTTAGTAAAAATATTAAAAAAATATTGTATAAAAAAGAAATTACCTATGTAACATTATATTTATTTTTTAGCAAGTTCTATTTCTTCTTTTGCTGAAAGTGTAGATTCTCCTTCTTCTCATTCTAATGCTTCTTCTTCTGAATTAAATTCTAAAGAAGAAGACCAACAAAAAATTTTACAAAAAGAGAAAAAACGATTAAAGGAAAGAAGACAAATAAATATTGGAGCTATTCCATCATCACCTTCAATTCGCGTAAAATTCATTTTTTTAATTACAAAGCTTTAGAATACACAAATAATATTTTTTTCAGTTAAGAAAAGAAGAATTAATTAGTGAAAATGGAAATTTAGAAGAAGAAAAAAATAATTTTATTTTAAATATTTTTATTGGTAAATTAAAATTAATTGAACATTCTCCTCTTTTACGTCGGCAATTTGATTCTGGAAGGGTATTTGTGGAATGGAATTTATTAGATATTTCTAGAGATTTATGCGAAACTGAAGGAAATTTTAATTTGCCGAGAAGGCATTCTGAGGAGCTGAATTTTGATTGTCATAAATGTAAGAAAGGAATTTATTCAAATAAATATATATTTTGTAGAATAACTTTAATAAAATATTTTTTAACTTTACTTTATTTAATAGTATCTGTATTTGATATTTGAAATTAGAAAATTATTTTATGAATTCAGAAAATTCGTTCATTTTTTCGTCGTTTTTTCCAATTTAATATATAAAAATCTGTCAAGAAAAAATATAAAAATAATTTAAAAATAATTTTTTAGCTTATACTCTTGATAACAAACGAGTTGCTTTACTAAAACAATGGACAGAATTAAATACTTGTTTAGTATTTACTTTAGTATTAGAACTTGAAAAGGACGGTGAATTGGATGATTTATGTATGGGAGAATTTAATTTAATTGATATAATTAATAATGATAATTATGGAAATAATAATAATTTAATTGATAATATTACAAGTAAGTAAATTTAGAGAGAATTTAAAAAATAATTATAAATTAAAGTGAGGGATGTAGATAATTCAACTATTGCAATACTTGAAGTTGGTATTGGATATTCTGAATCATTAATGAAAGAAATTAGAGATTCTTTTAATTTTTCTGAAGGAGAAGAGGAAGAAATGGGGGAAGATTATGAAGGTGTTGTTAATGTTTAAATTATTGTATTATTTAATTTTTTTATTTTAAATTATTTTAAAAGTAAATTCTTTAACTTAAAAAAAATTTTTTTTAAGTTTTTTAAATAATATTTAGTATTTTTAATTTAATAATTACTACTATCTTTAAATACAAATCCATTACCTACTCAATAATTGTTGTTTTTATTTACTCGAAATTTGCGATAAAAATTAAAAAGCTAAAGATCAAGTTACTTTTAAAAAATATTTTCTTTGAAAAATTTATTTAAAATTAATTTTACTAAAAATTGTGAATTCTTTCATTTCCTTTTAATTCTTTTCATCTCCAAAATTTTTAAAATAAATATGCGCAAAGCTGGTAACAGAAATTTTTCATTCAAATTTTAATTTCAAAAGTATTCTGAATTTGAACTAGAACAGATCGATTCCGAACTGTCGAAATCAACCAAAAGCGGGATCAAATAACACGAAAACTCTAATGCTTTTTTCCTTTAATAAAAATTATTTTCAAAACTGCAAATGCATGACAATATTACACAATTTTTTCTTTTAATTCTTTTTCATCTGCAAATACTTTTTTTCCTTTTTTTATTTTTTCTTTTTGATCAATTTGTTTTTTGTGGACTGAACAGGTGACACCGAAAAAAATTCTCTTAAAAAATTAATGGAAGAAAAATATGTATAAAGAAGTTGGATATTATTGCTTGATAAAAAGTAAAAAAGAGTGGCAATATAAACTTTTTTGTCTTTTTTGGAGAGAATAACGATTGATTGTTCAAATAAAAAGAAAAGATCACTTTCATGCTGTTATAAAAATATTTAATTTAAAAATTTTTTGTATAAGTTCGAAGCTAAAATATTTCAGTTTAAATTTCCCCAGATACTTTTCCTAAAACCCGTATCTTGAACCCCACATTAATTCCAAACACTCCGACTGATCTTTTTCCACCCCTATTCTAATAAGCAATAATTTTCTAAATTGGAAAAACTGTATTAGTTGAACTTGAAGAGAGACTAATTAAGAAAGAAGGGATATTTTAAGAAATTAATTAAATTTTAAATATTTGATACATATTGTTAATGGTTTTTTTACTTTTTTACTTTATTAAATATTCTTCAATAGATAAATTATATTAGTACTTGATTAAAAAATGTTATTTTCTGGTGGTACGGCAGGAACAAAAGGTAAAGTTTTCTTGAATATAAAAAATATTTTTTTTTAATTTATTTGAAGGAACTCCTCCAAAAGAATCTAAAAAAGAACGTAAACCCGATAAAGAAGAAAAATATGAGGTATAAGAATTAAATAAATATATTTGAATTGTTTAAATATTAAAGATAAAAGAGGCAGTATTTTTACGTTGGGCTAATTCAATAATTGATGGAGATTTACAAGATTTAAGGTAAAATATTTAATAATTTTATTTGCAATAAAAGTAATTTAGAGAAATAGCTGATGTTAAATATCTCTCTAAATTTGCTACTTTAATACTTGGTGTGCCTGTTGTAAGTTAATTTTTTGCGATAAATTTTGAAAAAAAAACAAATTTAAAGGCTTTAAGTGGTAAAAATGAGGCAGATGATATTGATGCTATATTCCATGCAATGGTACCTGATGATCCAGATGATCGGCTTTTTCAGATTTCCGTAAATGATTTATTATCTGGAAATCAAAAAACATTATTAACAATGTGTTGGCAATTAATTCAAATTTTTTGGGAAAAGTTTGCCCCTGCCCCTTCAAATGAGAGAAAAATGGTTGAAGCTCTTAAAGAATGGTTAATTTTTTTCTTTTTTTTGTTCGATCTATTTTTTCTATTTAAATTTGTCTTTTTAATTCATTCATTAAAAAGGTGTCTTGACGCAACAGCTTCCTATCCAGATGTTATTATTAATGATTTTACTTCTTCATTTCGTGATGGAATGGCAATAAATATTTTAATTAAATCATTTGATGAATCTTTAATTGATTTAAGCGAAATTAGTGAACTAAGGGGAGAAGACAGAATTGAGAATGCACTTAGTCTTGCAAGAAGGCATTTTCGTGTCCCAAAGCTTATTCAACCAAAGGAATTTTATAGTGAACATTTGGATATGAAAAGTGTTTCGTGTTATTTAATGATGGTAATAAATATATTAAATTTTATTTTATAAATTAATTTTATCTAATGGTTTTTTGATAGATGAGGAAGAATTTCCCATCCATCCACGTTCTGGGAATTAATATTTAAAATCTTTTTATCTAAGTTATATCTCGGAATGTGTGAATCATCAACTCGTCCCCAAAGAGTACCTTCTACAAGAAGACGGTCTACATTAGCTACTACCACAGTTGGCAATGAAAGTATTAGTGCACCAAGTACCCCTTCCGGAGCTCAACAACCACAACAAGCAAATATTGCACAAACAGCAATAACTACAACATCTATACCAACAGAGATTACAACTGAGGCTGTAACTTCATTCCCAGAAGCAATCATTCATTCACAAATTCAACAACAGCAAATATTATCTGGATTGCCAGTCGCAAGACATTCAATAGCACAAGGTAAAATTATTTTTAATTTTAAAATAAAAACATTTTTTTAATTTTCAGCAGTTGTCCAAATTCCTGTAATTTATGCACAACAACAAAATCTCGTTCAATCAGCTCATCTAACCGATTCAAGTAATTCTGTTGCATCAGCCCCACCATATCCTGGAGGCAATCCTTTACAAAGAATTATTCAGGTAATTTTTAGGGTAATTTTCAAAAAAATAATTTCCTTCTAATTTTTATAGGCTAATATGTTAACTCCACCATCAAATTCACAGTCAACTAAAGCATTTATTCCATTATTACAAGCAGTTCCTTCAACAACATCTACATCCGTTATTTCACCTTTAGCCCAACAATCACATAATCAAGCACAATTACTTGAACATCAAAAACAAATGGAATCTCAAAAAGAACAACAACAACAACAACCTCTTTTTCAACCTCCAACAGTGCAAATTCAATCAACTTCACAACTTCCTATGCTTTTAATGCAGCAACAGCAACAAACTTCTTTACATAATTATCGTCCTCTACAGCTTTTACCTCCATTACCACAAGTCCTCCCCTCAAATCAGCCTTTGCCAAGTCTAAATAATTCTCCAAATAGAGAATTAAATCAACAATTATCGCCAAAATCTTTGGCACAATTTACTTTACCTTCACAACAATTTATTGGCATTAGTGATGTTATGGAAACAGGGATGCGTTCACGTAAATCTTCAAGTTGTTCATCTAGTAGAACCTCTAGAAGTAGAAGAAAACCAGAAGAATTATTACAAGAATATGGAGATTATTTACAGCAAGTATTAACTTGGCTTAACGGTTTGCCTTATATTAGTAGATTAATATGGATAGGATTAACTAGAATTCTCGATCTCCTATAAAAATATCTTTGATTGCCAAATGGAATAAATAAAAAAAGTTGGATACCTAAATTAAGTTAGAGAGATGACAAAACTTTATCTAGCCATTAATATATTACTCAGAACTTGATTGAAGTTTTATTTATTAAAAGGAAATTTAGTTTATTTATTTTTAAAATTAAACATAAATATTTAAATAATTTGTAAGAGGCCGAACAAGAATTAGCATTAATGTCTTCAACTCAAGAAGATGAAAATGAATTACCAAGCCTTGAAGCTGCTAAAGAAAAATTTCACGAACATGAGAAATATATGCAATCATTAACACAAAGTCAAGAAAGTGTTGGGCGTGTTCTACATCGGTTTGTTTTTTTGGAAATGAGAGAAATAATCTGTCTGTAAATATCATTTAGTGGTCATCATTTAAGTAAAAAATTAGAAGATCCAGAACAATCTGCAGCAATTATTAACCAATTAAAATCTGTCCAATCTCGATGGGAATTAATTAGAATTGGTGCTATGGAAAGGCAAACAGCTCTTCAACAACAAATTGAAAAAATACAAAGAGCACATTTAGACGAACTTATTGAATGGTTAGAAGGAATTGAAAGAGTAAATAAAAAAATTATTATTTTTAAATTAAAAAATAATTTAAATTAAAGAGATCAAGACAACAATTATGCCCACTTGCCGGAAATATTGATGTTTGTTTAAAACAACGTGTTGAGGCTGGGGCTTTAAAACGTCAAATGGATGAAAAACAGCCAGTATTTGCACAACTTTCTTCGTTTGTTGAAGTTGTCGATCAGAGTTCTCAACAAAAACAAAAAGAAGTTGAGGAACAAAAAAGTAATTTACAAAATTTGGAAATTTTGGTTAAACAGGTAATTGTTCTAGAATAATTATCCAGGGAAATTTAATATTATTAGAGGAAATAATAGATTTTAATCGAGTAGGAAATAAGGAACCAAAGAATTATTATTACCGTAAAACAATGAATAATTACCCTGTATAATTATTGTATCGACCTTCTGCTGGAGGGATTAATTAATTAAGGGAGGGTAATTATATGAGATTTGAACGTGTTTTAGATTGAACGTGTTTTATTTATTTTATTTCCAACCTTACCAATGAGTATAAGGTTGGAAATAAAATAAAAAAATATTTTTTGAATAAACATTCTTTATTATGTTCTGACAAAAAAAAAGAATTTAAAGTTTTGTGGGACAGAATAACCGGAATCGAGAAAAGTTTGGATAACCGAAAATTTTAATTTATAGAATTTTTCGATTTTGAATTACAAACAAGCCAACTTGTGAACGGGCCAGAGTAATTAAAATTAATTAAAATATTAATTTAATATTTATTTTTTAGAGCTAATTTAAATTTTACAAGTATTTTTGAATTAACAATCTCCGATTTATTTATTCATTATTTACAAACAGTTAAATTAATTAATTTAAATAAATTAAATATTTATTTATTTTATAGGAAGGAATGAATATAGAATTATATATTGTACAAAATGAAATAAATTATAAACTTTGTTCGCAAGCAACAATTCCACTTAAAAAATTACTTTCAATTAAAACACAAACAAATTTTAGGTAAATTAAATTATAAAGTTTAATTTTATTTAAAAATTATTTAAAATATAATAATTACCCTTTTTATTAAAATAATTTGTCTTTAAAATCTGACAGGTATACCTTTCTATCTAAATAAAATCTTTTATTTTTTTCAAATCTCAATCATTCATTGTCTATATATATCAATTCTATTATAAAATATTTTATTTAAATCTAAATATATATTTTTTAAAACAAATTTTTGTAATTATTTATTAAATGTTTGTTCGAGCATTTAAACTCAATATTTGTCTTTCACTTCTTTTTGGCTCTTTTTCAGCCATTTTGCTGTTAATTAGTTGTTTCTCTTGATCGTTTGTGTCACGTTTCCAATATCCATAAGGATACCAATAGTTATACCAATACTTAAAAATGAGACATAAAATTTTTAAATAATTATTTGGATTGAAAAAGTATTTAGGAAATATATAAAAATTAATTTTGTGACTTTTAAATAAATATACTTTCTCATAAAACAATAATAATCCCCAAAATTCTTGTACTTTAATTAATTATAAAAATTTACTTGGGCATCAATCTGATAAATAATTAAAGAAGCAATTAAGCAAATAAAAATTATTTTGTTCATTTTTAGAAAATAAAATTATTTTTTTAATTATTTTGAGAAAATTTCTTCACTTTTATATGAAAATAACACACACAAATTTCTAATTAAGGAATTTATAATTGTTATTAACATTCCAATCCTTTTATAATTTTAAACAATTTATTTATATTTACTTTCTATTTATTTTAAATTAAAAACAAACAAATTAGGCGAATTAAATGTAAATATTTACAATTTTGGAGATAATTTTTAAATTTTATAAGTGAAAACATAATTAAAAATATTTAAAGAAATAAGTTATATTTATTTAACTTTTTTTAAATGGAAATAAAATTGTAGGTAAATAAATAATTTAACAAGGTTCATGATTAAAACTTTAAATAAATCACATTACCCATAATTAGTCTGTTTATGTTATTGGTAATGAAAACACTTTTCTTTTCTTCTCCTATCACGACTATTAGCAGTAGTTAACGAGGGTCTTAATCTTGTAGATATATTTAAAAAAGACGAAAAATATTACAAAAACTTTAAAAAATTAATTGGATATATAAATTACTTTTACAGAGGTGAAATAAACTTTTTTGCTTCTAATGAAGATGATTCTCAAAAAGGATCAACTAAATCATCTATACTTTTAGCAAAACTTTCTTATAATGTAAAAGTTCCATTTTCTTTACTTCACGCATTAAATGCACAAAGGAGAAGAATGGCTGCTGCTGCATTTATTCCATTGATAAATAATGATGAAAATAAAGATTTTAATGAAGAAATTGAATCAAATAATCTTGTAATACAAATTCATCGGTGTCATAATTTGGATAAACTTAAAGGAGGAGAAAAAGGTGAAAGGAATGAAAAAATATATTTTTGTTTAAAATTAAGTTTTGGGAAATTTGGGATTCCTAAGGAACGGTGAAGTTTTAAAGCTTTTATTTCGCACATTCCACCGAGAATTTCACTCTAATTCCTCGTAAAACTATCGTTCTTTTAAATTAAATTTCAAAATTCTTTCTAAAATATATACCAAGAACAATTATTCAAATATTAGGTGATAAAACAAGGCAATCAACAGATGTAATGCCAAGTACATACATCACCTATGAATTTTTTACTTTCCCTATACATCTATCTAAAGTAGTCAAAAATAAAGCTAATCCAATATTTGATGAAATACAAACATGGAAATTACCAATAAATAGTGAAGCTATTCACAAATATTTAATTAACGAGGTTTATTTGTAATTATAAATTATTTAACAAATTTAAAAATTAAAGGATTTAATTATTTATGTATTTGAAGAAAATTCTGAAAATATTATTTCTTCTTCTGCTACTACCTCCCGTTCTCTTGGTTATATTTCAATTCCTTTATTTCCTTTAGCACGAAATCAAAAAATCAGAGGAACTTTTCCGTTAACAGATAGAGTTTGAATAAATTAAAATTTAACAAAAAAAATATTTTTAAAATATTATAGGCAGATGAAACAATTACTTCGGGTGCTTCTATTGATATTTCTATATTTTGGCAATTTGCTTATGTTTTTGATGATACTAAATTAGTGTCAAATACTGTAAATTAATATTAAAATATTTTGAGAAAATAAATAAATTTTAAAGTAATTTTAACAAAATCCATAATTTTTTAGCAATTAGTTGGTCGAAATGAAAATGTAAAAGAAAAAATTTTACCTGAAGTAGCAATAAAAGCAAGCAATAACATGCAAATTATCGATGAAACTAATGAGTAAGCATATGAATAATATAGGCGATTTTCATACTTCCACAAATTTATTTGTTAAAACAAAATATTTTTTTTATTTTCAGATTGAAAGAAATAAAAGAAAATAATCATGAAAATGATTTAATTAAAGATGATAATGATGATATTATTAGCTCTGATGAGGACGAACAAAAAGGGGAAATTGAGGAGTTGGAATTAAGAAAACGTCTTTTTTCTAATAAAATAATACCAGAAATTATTAATAATAAAGATGAACAAAAAATAGATTCTGATATTGAAATAAAAGAAAATAATGAAGGAAATAAAGATTCAGAATCAATTAATTTACTTAAAGAAGAATTAAACGCTTTAAATGAAGAAAATCCTTCCTCAGAAAGCATGTATAAATTATTTTTTTATTTATTTATAAATAAAAATACTTTTTTACAGTAAAATATCTGAACCAGAAAATATTCAATCACCAAAATCTTCTAATAATTCTTTTGAAGAAAATTTAATAATAAAAGAAGATGGAAAGGAGGAAAAAGAAGAATCTGATGATAATGTTTCTTTACGTTCAGATACTACATACACCATGGAATCGGCAAATCAACATTTAGATGTTAACGAAGAACAAATAAATGAGGAATTAAACGATAAAAAAGAATTATTAAAAGAGAATATTTCTGAAGAATCTCTTTTGGGTGTATTACCTCCAATTCCAGCACAGAGAAAGGTAAATGTGTTTAATATTGGAACTAGAATGAAAAGATCTCTCTAAATTGAGAGAATCTAAATAATCTTTAAATTATATTTTCCAGTCTAAAATTGCTGAACCTACAAAAGAAAATACTACTTTAACACTAAATGATTCTCCAAATGAATTAGCGGTTCGAAGAGCTGTTGAATTTAGCGACCCTTTACATTCTTCAATTCCTCGTATATTTTAATTTAATTATTATATATTTTTAGTAAAAATATTAAAAAAATATTGTATAAAAAAGAAATTACCTATGTAACATTATATTTATTTTTTAGCAAGTTCTATTTCTTCTTTTGCTGAAAGTGTAGATTCTCCTTCTTCTCATTCTAATGCTTCTTCTTCTGAATTAAATTCTAAAGAAGAAGACCAACAAAAAATTTTACAAAAAGAGAAAAAACGATTAAAGGAAAGAAGACAAATAAATATTGGAGCTATTCCATCATCACCTTCAATTCGCGTAAAATTCATTTTTTTAATTACAAAGCTTTAGAATACACAAATAATATTTTTTTCAGTTAAGAAAAGAAGAATTAATTAGTGAAAATGGAAATTTAGAAGAAGAAAAAAATAATTTTATTTTAAATATTTTTATTGGTAAATTAAAATTAATTGAACATTCTCCTCTTTTACGTCGGCAATTTGATTCTGGAAGGGTATATGTGGAATGGAATTTATTAGATATTTCTAGAGATTTATGCGAAACTGAAGGAAATTTTAATTTGCCGAGAAGGCATTCTGAGGAGCTGAATTTTGATTGTCATAAATGTAAGAAAGGAATTTATTCAAATAAATATATATTTTGTAGAATAACTTTAATAAAATATTTTTTAACTTTACTTTATTTAATAGTATCTGTATTTGATATTTGAAATTAGAAAATTATTTTATGAATTCAGAAAATTCGTTCATTTTTTCGTCGTTTTTTCCAATTTAATATATAAAAATCTGTCAAGAAAAAATATAAAAATAATTTAAAAATAATTTTTTAGCTTATACTCTTGATAACAAACGAGTTGCTTTACTAAAACAATGGACAGAATTAAATACTTGTTTAGTATTTACTTTAGTATTAGAACTTGAAAAGGACGGTGAATTGGATGATTTATGTATGGGAGAATTTAATTTAATTGATATAATTAATAATGATAATTATGGAAATAATAATAATTTAATTGATAATATTACAAGTAAGTAAATTTAGAGAGAATTTAAAAAATAATTATAAATTAAAGTGAGGGATGTAGATAATTCAACTATTGCAATACTTGAAGTTGGTATTGGATATTCTGAATCATTAATGAAAGAAATTAGAGATTCTTTTAATTTTTCTGAAGGAGAAGAGGAAGAAATGGGGGAAGATTATGAAGGTGTTGTTAATGTTTAAATTATTGTATTATTTAATTTTTTTATTTTAAATTATTTTAAAAGTAAATTCTTTAACTTAAAAAAAATTTTTTTTAAGTTTTTTAAATAATATTTAGTATTTTTAATTTAATAATTACTACTATCTTTAAATACAAAACCATTACCTACTCAATAATTGTTGTTTTTATTTACTCGAAATTTGCGATAAAAATTAAAAAGCTAAAGATCAAGTTACTTTTAAAAAATATTTTCTTTGAAAAATTTATTTAAAATTAATTTTACTAAAAATTGTGAATTCTTTCATTTCCTTTTAATTCTTTTCATCTCCAAAATTTTTAAAATAAATATGCGCAAAGCTGGTAACAGAAATTTTTCATTCAAATTTTAATTTCAAAAGTATTCTGAATTTGAACTAGAACAGATCGATTCCGAACTGTCGAAATCAACCAAAAGCGGGATCAAATAACACGAAAACTCTAATGCTTTTTTCCTTTAATAAAAATTATTTTCAAAACTGCAAATGCATGACAATATTACACAATTTTTTCTTTTAATTCTTTTTCATCTGCAAATACTTTTTTTCCTTTTTTTATTTTTTCTTTTTGATCAATTTGTTTTTTGTGGACTGAACAGGTGACACCGAAAAAAATTCTCTTAAAAAATTAATGGAAGAAAAATATGTATAAAGAAGTTGGATATTATTGCTTGATAAAAAGTAAAAAAGAGTGGCAATATAAACTTTTTTGTCTTTTTTGGAGAGAATAACGATTGATTGTTCAAATAAAAAGAAAAGATCACTTTCATGCTGTTATAAAAATATTTAATTTAAAAATTTTTTGTATAAGTTCGAAGCTAAAATATTTCAGTTTAAATTTCCCCAGATACTTTTCCTAAAACCCGTATCTTGAACCCCACATTAATTCCAAACACTCCGACTGATCTTTTTCCACCCCTATTCTAATAAGCAATAATTTTCTAAATTGGAAAAACTGTATTAGTTGAACTTGAAGAGAGACTAATTAAGAAAGAAGGGATATTTTAAGAAATTAATTAAATTTTAAATATTTGATACATATTGTTAATGGTTTTTTTACTTTTTTACTTTATTAAATATTCTTCAATAGATAAATTATATTAGTACTTGATTAAAAAATGTTATTTTCTGGTGGTACGGCAGGAACAAAAGGTAAAGTTTTCTTGAATATAAAAAATATTTTTTTTTAATTTATTTGAAGGAACTCCTCCAAAAGAATCTAAAAAAGAACGTAAACCCGATAAAGAAGAAAAATATGAGGTATAAGAATTAAATAAATATATTTGAATTGTTTAAATATTAAAGATAAAAGAGGCAGTATTTTTACGTTGGGCTAATTCAATAATTGATGGAGATTTACAAGATTTAAGGTAAAATATTTAATAATTTTATTTGCAATAAAAGTAATTTAGAGAAATAGCTGATGTTAAATATCTCTCTAAATTTGCTACTTTAATACTTGGTGTGCCTGTTGTAAGTTAATTTTTTGCGATAAATTTTGAAAAAAAAACAAATTTAAAGGCTTTAAGTGGTAAAAATGAGGCAGATGATATTGATGCTATATTCCATGCAATGGTACCTGATGATCCAGATGATCGGCTTTTTCAGATTTCCGTAAATGATTTATTATCTGGAAATCAAAAAACATTATTAACAATGTGTTGGCAATTAATTCAAATTTTTTGGGAAAAGTTTGCCCCTGCCCCTTCAAATGAGAGAAAAATGGTTGAAGCTCTTAAAGAATGGTTAATTTTTTTCTTTTTTTTGTTCGATCTATTTTTTCTATTTAAATTTGTCTTTTTAATTCATTCATTAAAAAGGTGTCTTGACGCAACAGCTTCCTATCCAGATGTTATTATTAATGATTTTACTTCTTCATTTCGTGATGGAATGGCAATAAATATTTTAATTAAATCATTTGATGAATCTTTAATTGATTTAAGCGAAATTAGTGAACTAAGGGGAGAAGACAGAATTGAGAATGCACTTAGTCTTGCAAGAAGGCATTTTCGTGTCCCAAAGCTTATTCAACCAAAGGAATTTTATAGTGAACATTTGGATATGAAAAGTGTTTCGTGTTATTTAATGATGGTAATAAATATATTAAATTTTATTTTATAAATTAATTTTATCTAATGGTTTTTTGATAGATGAGGAAGAATTTCCCATCCATCCACGTTCTGGGAATTAATATTTAAAATCTTTTTATCTAAGTTATATCTCGGAATGTGTGAATCATCAACTCGTCCCCAAAGAGTACCTTCTACAAGAAGACGGTCTACATTAGCTACTACCACAGTTGGCAATGAAAGTATTAGTGCACCAAGTACCCCTTCCGGAGCTCAACAACCACAACAAGCAAATATTGCACAAACAGCAATAACTACAACATCTATACCAACAGAGATTACAACTGAGGCTGTAACTTCATTCCCAGAAGCAATCATTCATTCACAAATTCAACAACAGCAAATATTATCTGGATTGCCAGTCGCAAGACATTCAATAGCACAAGGTAAAATTATTTTTAATTTTAAAATAAAAACATTTTTTTAATTTTCAGCAGTTGTCCAAATTCCTGTAATTTATGCACAACAACAAAATCTCGTTCAATCAGCTCATCTAACCGATTCAAGTAATTCTGTTGCATCAGCCCCACCATATCCTGGAGGCAATCCTTTACAAAGAATTATTCAGGTAATTTTTAGGGTAATTTTCAAAAAAATAATTTCCTTCTAATTTTTATAGGCTAATATGTTAACTCCACCATCAAATTCACAGTCAACTAAAGCATTTATTCCATTATTACAAGCAGTTCCTTCAACAACATCTACATCCGTTATTTCACCTTTAGCCCAACAATCACATAATCAAGCACAATTACTTGAACATCAAAAACAAATGGAATCTCAAAAAGAACAACAACAACAACAACCTCTTTTTCAACCTCCAACAGTGCAAATTCAATCAACTTCACAACTTCCTATGCTTTTAATGCAGCAACAGCAACAAACTTCTTTACATAATTATCGTCCTCTACAGCTTTTACCTCCATTACCACAAGTCCTCCCCTCAAATCAGCCTTTGCCAAGTCTAAATAATTCTCCAAATAGAGAATTAAATCAACAATTATCGCCAAAATCTTTGGCACAATTTACTTTACCTTCACAACAATTTATTGGCATTAGTGATGTTATGGAAACAGGGATGCGTTCACGTAAATCTTCAAGTTGTTCATCTAGTAGAACCTCTAGAAGTAGAAGAAAACCAGAAGAATTATTACAAGAATATGGAGATTATTTACAGCAAGTATTAACTTGGCTTAACGGTTTGCCTTATATTAGTAGATTAATATGGATAGGATTAACTAGAATTCTCGATCTCCTATAAAAATATCTTTGATTGCCAAATGGAATAAATAAAAAAAGTTGGATACCTAAATTAAGTTAGAGAGATGACAAAACTTTATCTAGCCATTAATATATTACTCAGAACTTGATTGAAGTTTTATTTATTAAAAGGAAATTTAGTTTATTTATTTTTAAAATTAAACATAAATATTTAAATAATTTGTAAGAGGCCGAACAAGAATTAGCATTAATGTCTTCAACTCAAGAAGATGAAAATGAATTACCAAGCCTTGAAGCTGCTAAAGAAAAATTTCACGAACATGAGAAATATATGCAATCATTAACACAAAGTCAAGAAAGTGTTGGGCGTGTTCTACATCGGTTTGTTTTTTTGGAAATGAGAGAAATAATCTGTCTGTAAATATCATTTAGTGGTCATCATTTAAGTAAAAAATTAGAAGATCCAGAACAATCTGCAGCAATTATTAACCAATTAAAATCTGTCCAATCTCGATGGGAATTAATTAGAATTGGTGCTATGGAAAGGCAAACAGCTCTTCAACAACAAATTGAAAAAATACAAAGAGCACATTTAGACGAACTTATTGAATGGTTAGAAGGAATTGAAAGAGTAAATAAAAAAATTATTATTTTTAAATTAAAAAATAATTTAAATTAAAGAGATCAAGACAACAATTATGCCCACTTGCCGGAAATATTGATGTTTGTTTAAAACAACGTGTTGAGGCTGGGGCTTTAAAACGTCAAATGGATGAAAAACAGCCAGTATTTGCACAACTTTCTTCGTTTGTTGAAGTTGTCGATCAGAGTTCTCAACAAAAACAAAAAGAAGTTGAGGAACAAAAAAGTAATTTACAAAATTTGGAAATTTTGGTTAAACAGGTAATTGTTCTAGAATAATTATCCAGGGAAATTTAATATTATTAGAGGAAATAATAGATTTTAATCGAGTAGGAAATAAGGAACCAAAGAATTATTATTACCGTAAAACAATGAATAATTACCCTGTATAATTATTGTATCGACCTTCTGCTGGAGGGATTAATTAATTAAGGGAGGGTAATTATATGAGATTTGAACGTGTTTTAGGGTATTTGATGGGGGGGGGTAATTATTATTTCAATCTATCGCTGGAAGGAGTAATTAAAATAAGTGAGGTAATTAGCAAAGGGAGGACAATTAATACAGATTTTCGGTTTTATATAGTTTCCATTTCTTCCATCTTTTTTCTGTTGCAAAAATATCTAAAACAAATTTTTAGGTTGATAAACGTTGGAATAAACTTTTAGAATTAATATCTTTACATACAAAATTACTTGAAGGACTTGGTGATTTATTAGAAAAATATGAACAATTAAATAATGAAATATTTGAATGGCTAAATGAAAAACTAAATAAATTAAATAAATTAAAAACCCCAAATGAATTAAATACAGAAGAGGAAGTACAAAATTATTTAGGAATTCTTCGATCAATGGAAAAAGTATTTAAAAAAATTAATTTAAATAAATTTTAATTTAAAAAATAGAGTTTAGAAAATCAAAAAGAACTTTTTGAAAAATTTTCAACAATTTCTAGAGAATTAATTAATAGATTTGAAAAAGGAAAGAATTTGGGGGCTTCTCAAAATATTAGTGATAAATTAAATGAATTAAATAATAAACGTGATGGAATTTTAAATAAATTAGAGGAAAATTCAGAAATGGTTGGCTTTAATTTTAAAAAATTTGGAATTATTAAATTTTATTTTTCTAATATTATCTGACTACCCGAATTTTGAGAATATTGAACATAACTTTTTTTAAATGATTAAAAAAATATTTTTAATTAAAAAAATTAAACTTAAAATTTCAAAATCGGACATTTATTTATTTTCCTGTGATGATTTTGTAATTATTTTCTCTTTTCATATCTCTCTCTCACTAATTTTAATTTATAATTTTAAGCTAATCCAGTCAGGGAAAGTAAAATTACAAACAAGTGAACTTCCAATTCCGTCAATAGACGATGAAGAACAGCCAAGAAGGAAAATAACATTAGAAACAATATATTCTGTGGATGAAAGTCGTCGAGGTTCAGAATCCCCTCAATCAGCTGCGAAGAAAAGAAAATTACTTCAATTACCGCCGGCAGAACATTTAACTATTGAGGAAACGGAAGAAGGGCCTGTGAAAAAGGAATTTAGATTTGAAGAAGAAGAAATTAAAGAATTAAAAGAAGGTGATTATGAAAATAATTTTAAATAATTAATTAATTTTAATTTTAAAGAACAATCTTCTCCTCCTAAACAAACTGAAGAAGAGAAAACTTCAACATTATTAAATCAATTTATACAAAAAGTTTCTTCTTTAAATCAAAAACTTCAACCGTTAATTGAATGGACTAAATCAGAATTTGTACAACAACAAATGTCCAGTCAACAAGAAAAAGAGAGTTTAACAATTAAAAAACCTCAAAATATAAAACAAGCAGTACTTAATTGCCAAAAACGATTAAATGAAGTACGAGAAATGGAACCTGCTGTGACTAAATTACAAATACAAGTATGTAAATATAGTAGTCATGTTCGGGTATCCCGACTCCCGAGGTTATTTCCCGACCCGGTTCCTGATTCCCGGGTTTTTCTTCTTCCGAACATCACTAACATATGTTATTATAAAGCATAGCTTATTATAAAGCATAGCTTTTTTAGCTTGAATTTTTGCACAATCGCGTCAAATTGAGTTCGAAACAATTGCATGCAGTAAATGAAATTTTTGACGATTTTATGTAATTTTTAAATGAAAAGAAAAATTTTTATTCTTTTAATCAATTTATTTCAAGGTCACGATGGTCTTGTGTTGTTGGGACTATAAGTAAAGTTTTAAGTAATTTATCTCGGCCAGAACCTTTAATAAAAAGTCCAAGTAAAACACCAGAAAGGCAACAAAAACACTCAACAAATCAAAATAAAATATTTTTGATGATTGAACAATTAGATCAATGGTTAATTGCTTCCTCTAAATATTTGGATGAATTACCCCCACAAATGCCAGCAAACGATAAATTTGATAAAATTGCTAAAATTGCAAAACAATTGGGTGAACAACAAGCACATTTAAGTCATTTGAAGAGATTGGTGAGAATTTTTTTTTTGAATTAATTAATGCCTCATTATTGTCTTTGGAAGATTGTAATAAATATAATTTCTGGGGAGGAGGAGGAGGGCGTTTCCGAGTAATTAACACTCACAAAAATGTTATTTGCTGTTATTTGTTATTTTATTAGTTATTATCCTGTTGTTTGCCTTTATTTCATCAATCCAACTTTTTTTAAATTCCCTTTTAAATATCAACTTTTAATTTAATTTTTAGGCAAAGCTCTCCCCTGAAGAAATCAAAGCATTATTAGAATTAGAAAAAAGAATGATTTCTTTATTAAATCGAATTGATAAATTAACTGATGCTACTGAAGAAGAGGAACAATCAACTAAATTAAAGATTGAAGAGAAAATACGCCCTCAAATAGGTTCAAGACTTTCACCACGTACAACAACTGTTCAGTTAAAACAAGAAGATAATTTAGAAGAAATACCTTCAACAAGTACTCAACAACAACAACAATCAACTTCCCCTCCTTTACCAATGGACGAAGCTGAAACTTTAAGGTACTAAAATATATAATTAAATAAATATTTATTTTTAGAATGAAATTACTTGCTGAAGAAGAAAAAGAAATTGAAGCTAGTAATTTAGATTTAGAGAAGGAGGAGGATGATGAATGGACAAAATGGTTGAGAGAAAAGGAAAGAGAATTAAAATTAAATGAAGAATGTATTCCCGGTGATTTAAAATCATTATCTGCACAATTAGAAAAATGTGATGAGTAAGTTTTGAAATTAAAATTTTATTTGGAAAATTATTTGGAATTATCCTTTATAATTAGAGAGTCCTGGGTAATTTAGAATCGAAAGGAGAAGGGGCGATTTTTATATAAAAAAACTTCAATTGTAAAATAATCTTTAAATTTCTCAGGATGATTGCCGAATTACGCAATAAACGTTGTGCTGCTTCTTCAAGTGAATCAGATGTTGAAATGGTTGCCCCATTAGAAGGTTTATTACGGGCTGCTGAAACTAAAAGGAATCATTGTGTTGATAGTATAAATAAAACACAATTATCTATCCACAAAGCTGTTAAATTGGAAGAAATTGGTGATCAATTTAAAAGAGAACTTGAATGGTTAAGAAGAAATTTATCTGTTGATGAATCTTCTTTAAAAGAATCTCTTGAAAGAATTAAAGTAAAAAAAGGAAATAAATTTTGAGAAAAAAATAAATAAAAAAATTTAAGTATTTAAAAACTTCTTTACAATTACAAGAAGAAACAAAAAAAGAAACTTTAAATTTATTAGAAGAAGTTGCACAAATTGCTTTAAAAAAGAAATCGAGTGGTTCTAATATATCTGGGGAACAAATGAGGGAAAGAATTGTGAAATTAAAAAATCAGTGGAAAATGATAGAAAATGAGATTGAGGTAAAATGAAAATATCGAGAATATAATTTAAATATTTGAAGGAATTACTTGATTGTTGTAATAGAGAAAGTCAAAGGAGGGCAAATTCTTGGCTTAATTCTTTAAAATTACTTTTAGAAGAATTAGAACAAGCATTGAAAGGAAGTTTTGAATCGGCAACAGACGCAGAAGAATTAAGTGAACATTTAGATAATTTAGAACGTCTTTTAGATAGACTTGGGTCTATTGAAAGGGAAGCTGAAGAAGAGGAATATAAATTGGAAATTACAGTTAAAATTAATTGAAATTAATTTTTAAAAATTAAAAAAAATTAAAGGAATTCCATCCACAATTAATTGAATTAACAAAACAAAGGGAATCTTTAATTAAAGCTACATATGAGAGATGTACACAATTAAGGAAGGCTGTTGCTAATTGTGAACATTTTGAACAAAGATTGTGTCAAATGCATAATTGGGGAGCGTTAGTTTTTTTTTGTTTTATTTTTGAAATTAAAAATATTTTTAGAAATATGCAACAAATATTAAATCAAAGACTTGCATCGGATACTTATTCTTTGGAAGTACCCAATGAGTATAAGGTTGGAAATAAAATAAAAAAATATTTTTTGAATAAACATTCTTTATTATGTTCTGACAAAAAAAAAAGAATTTAAAGTTTTGTGGGACAGAATAACCGGAATCGAGAAAAGTTTGGATAACCGAAAATCCGGTTCTAGATAGCCAATACTACATAATTTACATATTTCTTATTTTGTCATTTTATATTTTTAATTAATTTTTAGGATTCACAAAGGACTGGGACTTTATTTAAAGTTTAATATCTTTTTCTCTTTCTTTTTTTAAACATTTAAATTTAATAGAAAATTGATAAAGAATTTTCTGAATATAATAAACTTGTTGAAGATTTAAATGAATATATCCATCAATCAAAATCTGAATTTGCATCTACAGAACGTTTAAAACTTCAATTAGATCATGCAAATGTTTTTAAATTTTGAATTTATTTTTATATTTTATTTATTTTAAAGCAACAACTTTCTTTATTACGCCCAAAGTTTGCAGAATTTAAACAACCAATTGGCCTTTTTGAGAGAATGGATAGAATTCAACAACAATTAACTGAAATTGAATCTTCTATGGATGATTTGGCTGGAATTGAAGTTTTAAATGATTTTTTAATATGGAAAATTTTAGAGTTTTTAAGAAATATTAGGGAATTATTAAGTTATTTAAATTTATGTAGAGGGGGTTTTAACAGATAAATCGACTTAAAATGAGTTACAAAATGCGTTATTGGTTTTCCCTAAATCATTATGTATCGGTGAACAAAAATATTGAGAGAAACCACCAATTTATTTCCTTTGAAGTAAATTCTTATTTTTAAGGAATATCAGGAAATAGTGATAATAATAAATAGCGATAATTTAGTACATATTAAAAAATAAATTAATTTATTATAGTTACACAATTTAAAAAATAAATTTTTTAAAGTCAGAGAATTGTGAATTCTGTCTTCTACATTTAGAACAAATTCAGAATCAATTAGAAGAATTAAGCACAGATTGTGCTGCTTGCGAAGCTTCTCGGGATACTTTAATTCGTGAAGGTATAATAGAAGAAATACAAGCAATTAAATTATCTGCTCAACTTTCTGAAATGACCAAAAAATGTGTTGATGAATTAGAAAATAGGGCAACAATAAATATTCAAAGATTAAAAAGGGCTGTCGATTTTGTTGAAAAATTTGATAGAGAATGTGCTGTACTTGATAAATTATTGGGGGAAGTAGAAAATAGATTAATACAAAATGATGAAAATATTAAAAATGAAAAGGTGAATGGAAAATATAAATATTTATTTGGAATTTATTTTTTCGTTAAAATATCTCAATAAAATATTTTTATTATTTTTGTAGCAAACTCAAAGGTTAGTTAAAATAATTGACGAATTATATAGACAATTACGTGCTGCAACAGATTCAACTTCAAAGGCCAAGTAAAAATAATTTTAAATTTAAAAGTTATTTTTTTATTTTTTAGTGAATTAGAAAGTTTTCTTCGAAATTTAGCTATTAGATTACCTAAAGAAAAAATTGAATTTATTAAAAATGCAGAACAGCGTTGTTCTAAACTTAGAGATAAATTAGATGATTGGAATGAATTAATTAACAATCAAATACCCGTAAATATTTAAGAAAATATTTTTTTCAAAATTTATTTTAGAAAATAAATGAAAAAAGTGAACTAAAGCAACAAAAAGAACAACAGAATATATTAATTGAAGAGGGGATTTTTAATGAAATAAATGAATTGGCAAAAGAATTGGATAAACGATTTGGACAATTAGAACAACAGAATACATTACCAAGTTACCAATTAATTGAGTAAGTTAAATAAATATATTTTTTTACTTTTTTTGTATATTAAAGACGATTAAATGCCCTTCGACCATTAAAAGAACGTTTTGAACATTTATCATTACAGACTGTATCAAGAAAGGATTTTGGTTCTAAAGTAGCTCCTCTTTTAGCTAATCTAAGTTCTAGATGGCAAAATTTAACAATAAAGGCTTCTGACAGAAAACGGCAAGAAGAACAAATTAAATATCAAGAATATTTAAATTTAAATGTAAACAAAATTTAAAAAAAAATTATTTTTATATAAAATATTTAACAGCAAGAACCAGCCTGTACTAGTCCATTATCAATTGGTGAGATATCGCCAACAACCGCTTATCAAAGTGGATTAAATGAAAATGAATCGCTCGAAGATGTACGAGATTTTGGTCAGCAAGTTCAATCGACAATTGAACATTTTGAAAGGGCTAAACGTCATCTTAATTATTCTAGACATCCTGTTAATAATTTACAAGATTGGGAACAACGTTTAAATGTGAACTTTTAAATTATATTATGGAAAACTTAGGTTTATGAACAGATATTTTTGTGCAATACTCTCCTCTATGTCTCTTATAATCCTCTCTCTTTCATTCACAATATCATGTATTCTCGCATTTATATTCGTCCCTCTACTATTGGAGGTCCCTTCCAGCCTTCCATATCTCAATCTTATCACAATAATCCTCGCATTAAGCTATAATTAATTTATTATTTTTTTCAGAAAATTGGTCAATATGTTGCCAATCGAAAACTCAATTTTGACGTTTTAATAGCTGGAGGAAAACATATTGCAGAATCAGGCCCAATTGAATTATTAACTTCCGCAGCACTTTCTAAACTCGACGAACTTATAGATTTAGTCCACAATGTAGATGAACAAGTTGAAAGAGAAGAACAAAGACTTCACAATATATGCCAACAATTTGGGATTTTTAATGGACAAACACAAATGGCTAGAGAGAGATTGGAAGCTATGGAAATTAAAGCAAATACTTTAAATACACACGCAATTGATCCTACTCCTGTTATTGTAAGTTAATTTTTTTATTTAATTTTTTTTGGTTAAAAGTAGAATATCTTTTTGCTTTTTTGGAAGATTATTTGTATAATTTTAACATGACTTTATTTTAAGGAAGGGTTACTATGTATTTATAAAATAGTAGAATTTTTTTCATACAATTTTCTTTAAAAATAAATTATATTTTATTCTCTTTTAACAATTATTTTTTTATTTAATCCCATAAATCGTTTTAAGAAATTACAAAAGCATTCATTTCTCTCATCCATTCTTTTATTCATTTTTCCCTTTTTATTCTTTAAAAATAATCCAGAGCTACATATACATATAATTCCAAATATTTTCAAGTGCTGGTATATACACTATGCCTGAATATAATTAATTTTTATGTTCACTCTTTTTTTTGTTTACGAAGGAAACAACCTTTTGCGCGTTTTTAAAATTTAATTATTTATTTTTTCATCCATTCTCTTAATTATTTTTCATTAGAAAATTTTTATAATTATTTATTAAATTATTTAAATATTTAAATTTCATACTTTAATTTTTTTATCTTTATGTGCCCTTCTAATTCTCAGGATAAAAGCTAAATAAATATAATATTTTAATGGTAAATGGCTTTTGCGCATCCATTAATTTTGGTCATCGTTTTTGTTTGATGGCTTAAATTTTCGGTTAGTTCGAATAACCGAAAAGGGTGTTTTCCACAAAAAAGTCAAGGCAAAAAAAGTCAAGAAGAAGAATTATTGTGGATTTTTCTTCATTTCGGGTATTAGAGAATCGAGAGTATTATTTTATATTAATCCACAATCACTTCCAGATTAAATTACAAATCAGAAACTTCTTAAACTACATTTCTAAAATATATTTTAAAATTTCTTTAAATATTCTTTAGTCTATTTATTTAAATATTTTTATGACTAAATATTTAAGTTTTAACATAAGCTGCTTTTATCTTCTTTCTATTTAATCCTTCTCCTCTCTTTTCTTTTTTATTGTTGGCCACCAAAGTTTTTGTTTCATCAACTACAAACAAAACTAAGAAATAGCCACATTACTTTTTGTTTTTTTTTTCTTTTTTAATTTTCCCGTTTTTCTTCCCCTTTATCTTCTAAATTTATTTTATTTTAGTTAATATTATATCCTTCCTTTTCATTAATTATAATGCCTTTTCTCACTAATGCGCACTTCTTTTATTTACTTTGGGAACTCCAAATATCCGGCAGGTGCCTGATATCAAAAATTTAGGATTTTATTACTAAAATTGGTATAAAATTAAAATTGTTTTGACTTTTGTTAGTGAGATGGAGAGAAAAGTAAAAATATTGGCAGCTGATTCACCAAAGGCTTTTGCTTTTTAGTTTTCCATTTCTAAATAAATTATTTTGAGTTATTAAATCAGCGAACACTTTTTTTTAATTTCTAAATTAAAATAAATGTTACTTAAACTTTATTTTCTTTTTATCTTTTATTTTTAGGTATGATTCACCCATTTATTTATTTAATATTTCTTTTTCCAGTCTTTATTTAAATATTTTAAGCCATATATTTAAAAAAATTATTTTTGTAAAAACAATTTCTTGTCAAGAAATCTAAATTTTAATTTATTTTTGTGCTCAATATACATTTACGTGGTGTAGAAGAGAGATAATTAAATTATTCCCCATTCATTTAAACTTGATTTAAAAAGACAGAAATATTTAGTAATCAACAGAAAAAATTTAGATAATATATATTTAAACATAAAAAATATATTTTATAAAAATAAATATTCTTATTCAAATAATTATTTAATTAGTTATTATATCCACAAAATAATTCCTTAACTCCTCATAAATTAATTTAACTCGAGCAAAATCTGTATTTTTTTGGAATTATCTCGCTGTATTTTATTTTTTTTTATTACTGGACAGTATCCACAATACATATGATTCAACTCTTAAAACCTTCAACTAACTTAATTCCTTTTTTAAAAACATAGTTTCTCTAAATAGGTGCTTTTTTGTATAATCTTTTTTAAAAATATTTAAAAAAAAAGCAAACAATTTATTAAAATAAAAAAAATAATTATTTTTTAATTAACTTTTTATTGGACTCGTTTTAAAAAATTATACAAGAAATACACAATTTACACATTTCCTGCTACTTATTATCACAAAACTAGTTTTGATTAAAATATTCACTAAAGCTTTAACTACTTTAAATTATAATTATTTTATTGTTGTTGTTATTGTGGTGTTTATTAATGAATTAATTTTATTTAAAAATAATCTTTTTGTTAAAAATAAATGAACTGGAATTAATTTTAATTATTTAAAATTCTTTTAATTAAAGAGAATTCAATCATGTATTTATTTTCCTTCTCTCCTTTCTCATCTTAACACCTCCAATCCGTTTCTTTATTTTCTTAAATTTATGTCTACTACTTAATACTTTTTTTCAATTTCTTTTGTTGCAATTATTTAAAAATAATATTTAATATTTACATATTTATTTTTTTTTAATTTCCAAAATTTTTAACTATTTTCTATTGATTATTCTAATATTTATTTAAAAATTGCATTTTCAATAGTGTTAAAAATAAATACATTGTAACTTTACGGCTTATCACACACTTTTTCCTTTTTTTTCACGTTAAACTAAAAATATTAAACTACAATTTTTAGTATATTTTACTAAAATATAAACATCTTTTTTTATTTATTAAATGAAATTAAAGGTCATTGGCGTGTTTATATCTTATAAAATTAATCCCGCAAAAACCTTGAATTTGTTTCAAATATTTTCTTTATCTTTCTTACATCTTTTATTTCTCAAAAAGTTAACACAAAAAAAATTTTTTTATTTGTTCATTGAAAAATTAAATATATTTATTTTTTATTTTGCCTTTTTTATTTAATATTTTTAATAAAAAAATTTTTTTAATTTTTTTTCTAGACACTACAGCAAGAATTGATGGACACGAGTGGCCAAATGCAGCTGTTACAGCTGAGCGCAGATGAATTGCGAAAATCTTTACCCCCAACAATGTGTGAACAACGGATTGGCGGGGATGTATTAGATCAACTCAATCAACAATTACACGAAATTGAATCTCGTGTCCAGTCAGCTTTGCTACGTGCTTTGCAATATAGACAAGATGAAGACGAAAATTTTGAAATAAATGAGGAGGAGGAGAGGAAGGAATTATGGCAACCTGAGTTTGATGTTGCGAATGTATCTACTTCTAGTACAGCACAACAAGTTTTTGGTAAGTTAAAAAAGGATTAAATAAATGAAACAAATAGTAATTAGGAATGAAATTTTGTTTTTATAAAAATATTATTTGTTTACTATTAAAAACACTAAATAATAATCTAAATCAATCAGAACCTTAAATTAATTTGGCCATTAATTTAGTGCCATATCCATCAGAAGAACAACAGTTGGAGACAAAATATAAAGTAAATATTGATGGAATAGCCTCAACCTCAGAACCACTGAAAGAATTTTTAGGGGATGAATATATTGAGGAGAAAAAAGGAGGGAATATTGGAACAAGGCAAAGAACGGGGGCCAAGCCAAAAGAAGGTCAAAGAATGGGAAAAGAAGAAAAAGATGAAGAGGAGGATGAGGAGGAAGGGTTTAAATCGACCACTACTGACCACCAACAACAACGGCGAAGATGGCGAACTGCTGCCGCTGCTGCTTTGGCACCGCCTTCACAAATAGCCCAACAAAAATCATTTTTACCTCCAACAGAAAAAATGAAAAGTGATGGCCAACAATTTTTATTAAAAAGGCAACAAAAAATTGGAGAACAAACTGGAGGCATGGATCAATTTTACATTAGTTTAAATATAATGGAAGATTATATTGAACAACAACAACAATTAAATTCCTTGCCGTATGAGACTTTTACTGAAAAAGCTGAAATGTTGAAGGTACAAACAAAAGGAATTGAAGAACCTTTGATTTATAATTTATATCTTTAAAGGATTTCGAAATAGAATTAAAACGTGGAGAGCAACTTTTAAATGAACATTTAATGACAATGGAAGTAGGAGAAAGTGAGCATGTTAAAGCCAGAATAGCCTCATTGAGGAGACATTTTGAAGAAAAAAAATCAGAATTAGAAAGTCGTCGTGAAACAATAAGAGCATTAGAACAGCATTATTCTCAATGCGAGCAAATGTTGGATGAATTAGCTAATATTTGTAAAGAACCAAGAATACGACTAAAGGGAGTACGTTTACCGAAAAATGAAGAAACTGAAGAGGTAATTAGTACATATTTTAATCTGAGTTTTTGAGTAAGAAATATAACAGACCCGCTATTCTCTTAATCTTTGGTAGAAAGTGTTCAAAGACTAGTAAAAAATATTCTTTTTTTAATCCTTCCACAGATAACAAAGACTGATTAAGATATGAAATAATAAAAAAAGAGAATTATTCTTCTCTTTCATTCCCCTATCTACTGTATAATTTATTTATTTTTGTGTTATCAATTAATATTTAGAGTGAAAGAATTAATCTGACAGAATCACGTGATTCTTCTCCTGACCTAGATGAATTGGAAGCAGCCCAAGCCCAATTAGAGAATTATTTACCACCTATTGCTGTTCGTCTTCAACAAATCCAAAATAGATTAAATGTTTTAAGTGAACATCTTTCTGCCGCTGCCCACAATAAATTTCAACAAAAACTTCGTCTTTTAGTTGAGGATTTTAATGAAAGAACAAAAGAAGTCAGAATTAAGAGAGATCAATTGGAGATACGTTTAGCTGACCAAACACATTTAAAACAATTACTTGATGATTTGGAATTTTGGTGTGATGAAAGTGAAGCTATTTTGGTGTGTTTTTGAAGAAATTAAATTTAAAAAAAATATTTTTTTAGGAAACAGTTGAACAAATTGGCCCTTTAAATATTTTAAAAATAGAAAAAGAAGAGGAAAATATACAAAAAAGATATTATTCAACAGAAACAAAATTGGAATCATTCCGTCAATTGGAAAGACTAAAAGATAGATTTGCTAATTTAGTTAGTGTCGAGCCCCAAGTTAAACATGAAGTAAGGAGGGATGTTGCTAATCTGGGAAAGAGATTAAGTGATGTAAGTTTAAATAAAGGAATATTTTAAAAAATAAAATTAAAAAGATTTTAAATTTAAAAGGCTAAATTCGAATTTAAAAAAATAGTACAAATACTTAAAGAGAAATACTAAAAAATAAAACATTTGATTAATTATTGATAACTTTTGCTAGATTTTAAATTACTAATACTTTAACAAAACTTGCTTTACTTTTTAGTTTAACACGTGTTTATTATAAGAAAACTTTATTTTATCCATTAAATTATGCAAAAAGAAACAAAGACTGATTTTTAATTATTTCTTTTCTAAACTACAAATGATTTCTTTTATTTTTTACCCGCCCAGATTTTTTTGCATTTGTTGTTCTTTTAGAGAATATTTATTTTTAAATATATTTTTCAAATATTTTTCTTTTCAGGTTCGTATAAAATTAAAAGAAAGAATGGATAATTTATTAGCAGAAAAATGGTCAGCAGATGAATTATGGAGGGAATTTGCAGCTTTAAAGCAATGGGCAGAAGGGGCAGAAAAACAAATTTATGCTGTTGAAAATGCAAAGATTTTCAGGTATTTTTTAGGAAATTATTTATAGAAATATTTGTAAAAACTAAAAACATTATTCAGACCTTCTCTAGTCAATATAGAGAATTTGGCCGGAAAATTGAGTGAAAACCGGTTAGCATTACAAAATATACAACAACGATTAAATCAACAGGCTGCGGTTGTACAAAAGGAAGGAAAAAATATTGGAGAAGTGGAAAGGGGGAATTTAAAGGTGTTTTAGTAAATAAACTTTAAAAATATTAAGCACTGTCCAGATAATTTTTGTTATTTTTAAATACAACTTTAAATTTAAATTAAAAATAACTTATGTATACCCCTATATAATTTATTATTCTTTAAATATCTTTGTAATTTTTAGCTTGTTGAGAATTTGCTTATTAAATTTGTAAATATTGAACGGTCTGTTGACCGTTTACTTGAACAAAAAGCAGCAGCTTCTGAAGAAAATTCAAGCGAAGAAGAAGAAATTGAGAATTTATATAATAAAATGGATGAAACTAAAGAAAAATTATTCAAAAAAGAAGAAGAAGAAGGAGAGGTTTTTGTTGAAATTAAAAAATATTTTTAGAATTTCTTTTAGTTAATTCAAAACCAACAAAATGGTTTCCATTCCCCTCTAGAAAATTTTGGACAAGAAAATGGTCATCTTATTGAATATAGAACTTTAAGTACACAAAGTGATGGAAGTGAAGAAGAAAATATTGGAGATGAAAATAATTTAAATTTAATTCAAATAATAAATCCAGAAGAAAATGACAAAGAAGTAAACAACAACAACAAATATCCACGTAGAAAAATGAGTTTAGCTGATCAATCGAGGCTGGATACTGTTACTAGACTACGTTCTTGGCTTCAGGCTAGCTACTCAAAAAATTATTTAAAAAATAATTAAAATAATTAAGGAAGTTGAAAGGGATATTGCTACTTCTGTTGATCTTTCTGATCAGAGTTTGATACGTCAAGCACTTGGAAAAATGCAGGTAAATTGTAGATTTATTTTGTTAAGTGTTTTTGTCTAAAAATAATTTCTGTCCCTCCTTTCAGAGCCTATAAGGGGTAGGAGATGTTTATTTAGAAGAAATTGAGAGAGAATTATTCAAAAATGTTTCAGTTTTGTTTTTAATAAAAAAAACTAGCGATGGGTTTGGCCACTGGGGTGGATATCAGGACACTGTGGCGGTTAAATTTTGCTTTGGGTTTAAATTTGGCTCTGCCCGTTCGAAAGCCTAACGGCTTTGGGTTGTGTTTTTTATGCCTGGAACAAAAGATTAGCCTTCATTGGGACTCATCCTTCCACTTAGTGTCACTTCGCCTTCGGCCCTCGCCCTCCCTTTTAGATGGGTGTCAGCTCGGGCCTTCGGCCCTCGCCCTTCCTTTTAGATGGGTGTCAGCTCGGGCCTTCGGCCCTCGCCCTCCCTTTTAGATGGGTGTCAGCTCGGGCCTTCGGCCCTCGCCCTTCCTTTTAGATGGGTGTTAGCTCGGGCCTTCGGCCCTCGCCCTTCCTTTTAGATGGGTGTCAGCTCGGGCTTTCGGCCCTCGCACTCCCTTTTAGATGGGTGTTAGCTCGGGCCTTCGGCCCTCGCACTCCCTTTTAGATGGGTGTCAGCTCGGGCCTTCGGCCCTCGCCCTCTCTTTTAGATGGGTGTCAGCTCAAGCCTTCGGCCCTCGCGACTCCATTTAGATGGGTGTCAGCTCGGGCCTTCGGCCCTCGCACTCCCTTTTAGATGGGTGTTAGCTCGGGCCTCCGGCCCTCGCCCTCCCTTTTAGATGGGTGTCAGCTCGGGCCTTCGGCCCTCGCGACTCCTTTTAGATGGGTGTCAGCTCGGGCTTTCGGCCCTCGCACTCCCTTTTAGATGGGTGTTAGCTCGGGCCTTCGGCCCTCGCACTCCCTTTTAGATGGGTGTCAGCTCGGGCCTTCGGCCCTCGCACTCCCTTTTAGATGGGTGTTAGCTCGGGCCTCCGGCCCTCGCCCTCCCTTTTAGATGGGTGTCAGCTCGGGCCTTCGGCCCTCGCCCTTCCTTTTAGATGGGTGTCAGCTCGGGCCTTCGGCCCTCGCCCTTCCTTTTAGATGGGTGTTTATCTCGGGCCTTCGGCCCTCGTTCTCACTTTTAGATGGGTGTCAGCTCGGGCCTTCGGCCCTCGCGACTCCTTTTTGATTAAAAATGGTCAATCTAAACCTATGGAGCGTAGGCGAGGCGCTTGTGCAAAACCCCGCGCTTCGCGCGGGGTTTTGCGGCACGCGCCTCGCGGGTCGTCAAAGGTCGCTGGGTTCTGGGCTCGTAACATGATCCTATTCCTATAACGATCAAGTTTCCTAAAACGACCCTTACTAAAAACTTCGAAATTCGAAATTATTAGTAAACCCATTGATCTCCCCTCATTATCCCCTCTTAAAAGAGTACTCATTCACCCATATCCACTTAAATCTCCAATCCCGAAATTCCCGGATTTCGAAGTTCGAACTCCGAACTTCGACTTTCGGCTTAATATTTTATCCCATTCGACTCCCCTGATCATCCCCTCTTGAATGACTACCCACTCACCCATACTTCCCAATACCGAAAATCCCGGATTTCGAAGTTCGAACTCTGAACTTCAACTTTTGGCTTGATCCTTTATCCCACTAAGCTCCACTAATTATCCCCTCTTGAATGAGTACTCATTCGACCATACTTCTCTCTCCCGGAAATCCAGGATTTCGAAGTTCGACTTCGAACTTCGACTTTCGTACTTATCCTTTATCTCATTCAGCTCCCCTCATCATCCCCTCTTGAATGAGTACTCATTCGACCACATTTACCAATCCTGAAAATTCCGGATTTTGAAGTTCGAACTCCGAACTTCGACTTGCGGCTTTATCATTTATCCCATTATACTCCCCTCACTCCCAGCTCTTGAATGACTACCCACTTGCCCATATCCCCAACCCCCGAAAATACCGGATTTCGAAGTTCGAACTCCGAACTTCGACTTTCGAATTTCTCCTTTATCCCCCCGAACTCCCCTGATCATCCCCTATTGAATACTACCCACTCACCCATATCTACAAATCTCGAAAATACCGGATTTCGAAGTTCGAACTCCGAACTTCGACTTTTGAATTTCTCATTTATACCCCCAAACTCCCCTGATCATCCCCTCTTGAACGAATACCCACTCACCCATATCCACAAATCTCGAAAATACCGGATTTCGAAGTTCGAACTCCGAACTTCGACTTTTGAATTTCTCATTTATACCCCCAAACTCCCCTGATCATCCCCTCTTGAACGAATACCCACTCACCCATATCCGAAAATCCCGAAAAACCCGGATTTCGAAGTTCGAACTTCGACTTGCGGCTTTATCATTTATCCCATCCAACTCCCCTCATTATCCGCTTTCGAATGACTACTCATTCGACCATATTCAAAGATCCCTAAAAATCCCAAATCCCGGATCCCTAATTTCGACCTTGCTTCGAATTTTACCCATTTGCTTTAACTTCCCCTACTTAAACTTGAAACTTGCTTCTGCTTCAAGTTTACCCTTGCTTCTGCTTCCAATTTCTCCTCTATCAATCAAAATTTCTCTCTCACCTATGAGATTTGCCCCCAGGATTTCCTCACTTTAGAGAAATCCGACAATTATCGGTAAGACAGTTTTCTTACCAGAATTTTGTGTCAAGCATAAGTACCCCTAAAGTTCGAATTTCAAATTTGAAATTTTTCCTACCTATATCTACATATCCCAACTTAAAATCCTACCAGCAGAAGTTTTTCAGTATCTTTATCCGTTTTCGAGTTATTTTCGAAAAACTCTTATTTTAAATCCCGACACACCCGACAATTCACAGGAAATGTCTGAATTTTGTGTCAAGCATAAGTACCCTTCAAATTCGAATTTCGATCTCGAGTTTTTTGCATTCGACATTGTCTTTTGATGCTTCAGTGCCCTCCAAGCAGAAATTTTCCTCTAAGTCCACTCATTCCCGAGATAGCCCCGGCACCTATATTATTTAGGTACCATGGGGGTACCAAAATCTTCCGTCCGTATTTTTCCCAGATGCGGCATAAAATTTGACCCCGGACATGTAAAACTTTCAGCCCATTATCTCAACTCTGTAAAGAGCTTTAATTTTTCCGACACTTTCTGCCAAAACTTTTTGGGCTCGTAACATGATCCTATTCCTATAACGATCAAGTTTCCTAAAACGACCCTATTCCAACAAAATCCACTCACAAATCAAAATTTTAAAAGCTGAAGCAAAATTGCTTCTAAAATCAAAAATTAAAGACTTAAAGCAAATTTGCTCAAGTTTCACAAATTTCAAAAACGGAAGCAAATTTGCTTCAAGTTTCAAAAATTCAAACTCGAAGCACATATGCTTCAAGAATCAAAACTTCAAAACATGAAGCAAATTTGCTTCATGTTTTGAATTTCAAAACTTGAAGCAAAAATATGAAGCAGAAGCATGCTTCTGCTTCGGATCCATAATAGGATCC